TTTGTTTTGAGTTAAGTAGTTCTCATTTGGAGTGATTTTTGGAGTCATTTTGCTTTCGTTTTTCTTTCACGTGGCGTAGCAGGCTTTCCGCCTTTGTCTGACACCGCGCGTGCGGCGGGCCAGGTCGGCACCGAGGGCGGGCTAGCCCAGTGCCGGGTAGGCATCGTGGGTTCTCCCTTTGGGAATCGAGTGCAATCCCATTTTAGCCGAGTCGGCTTTCCTGATTATTATTATTATTTCTGTTGTACAGTTATCTTATAATAATATTTCTTTGTCAAAAAAAAAAAAAAAAAAAAAGCATGCATTATTTATGACTCCATAGAAATCCGTAAAGACCTTTAGGGGAGACAGTGCTTCGTATATCCCCGGAGAGAAGTGCGGTTATTCTCCACAAGGTCTGCTAGTCGCCCCACACGTGGGGCCCCTGTTCCGGAGTCAGACTTTCGGCCGTTTCAGGGGACTAGCGAAACGTTTCGAAGAATATAGCGGTTTCGGCCGTTCCCTGTTCTCCGTTCGTTTCCCCTAAGCTCGCGGTGAGCTAGGGCCTAGCGAGACGAGTACAGTGGGGGTATATCGACAGAGGTCGTTCCCTTCCCCCCTGACTGTTTCAGCTAGCTCGGGGAGGCTAGTAAGCTAGAAGAGGACGTTTCGTCGGGTATATCGACAGAGGTCGTTCCTGCCCCTCGTCCGTCCTAAGCTATCTCGGTAGTGCGGTGACAATAGATAGCGGCGAGATATTCGTGGGTATATCGGCCGCTGGCCGTTCACTTCCCTCGGCCGCCTCGCCGAGCGTTAAAGAGAAATTCCGTGGGGTACAACGACCAGCGGTCGTTCCCTTCCCCTCGCCTGTTCTCAACTGCAAATATCTCAGTAGTACAATAGTACGAAAAGACGAGATAGCAGTGAGTCCCCCACGCAGGACATCGCCGTAGTTTGTAACGGTCATCCCGTGTTTAACGCGTTTTGACCGGCATCAAACATACGTCCTACGGTATGGAACACCGTGAGGATACTGGAGATAAAACTCCCCGTGTAACCACGGCCCCCCAGGCGACCAGCCGTAAGGGTTCCGCGGTTAAAAGGCCACATCAAGGCCACCGGGCGGTCCCAAGGGTAAGACCCAAAAGGGACCAATAGTCGCTCGATTACGCCTCCGGTCCCCGGACACATCGTCGTCACCTAGCAACCCGGCGTCGATTTCCCGTGGTTTCGCGGGAATTTCTTAGCCTCGTCCCCCCGTCTGCTGGCTCCACAACTCTCGGGGACGACCAGTCACGGAGCGGTAAAAGGATTCAATCCTCACCGGCCCCGTCTGCGCGTTCATCGCGCTCCGAGCGAGCATCCTGCTTCCACCCGTGCGGAATGGGCAGGACTCGCGCTGACTGACTTGCCTCCTCCCCCCATTCGGGCCACGGACTCGCAGTCAACATCATTCTTTGATCAATGCTCCGAATTCCCAGGATATTATCGGAGTTTTTATCCAGTGAATCAAGTCACCCAAGCAAGAAAAGGACAACAAGGCCGCGCCGTCTTCTTCAGGGGATTCCCCCCTTAAGTCGACGCATCGGAAAAAGAAAAACAAAGGTGTATCCACAGAAATCTTTCTAAAGCTTTCCAGGACATCATGTTTCGCTAGCAGCCCTCACTAAACAACAACAATGGAGATCGGGCCCCAATGGTGACTCAGAGGTCACTCCCGGCGGCCACATTTCCGGCCCAAAATCCGGGTCTAATCCTGCCGGATCCGGTGTGATCCGGCCGGATCCGGGTCCAATCCGGCCGAATCCGGGCGCGATCCGGCCGGATCCGGGCTTAATTCAGCCGGATCCGGGCGCAATCCTGCCGATTTCGGGCGGGATGAGAGGGGAACACACTGGGCCCCCAGATCCTGGGGTTGCCATCAGTGTCTGCCTCCAACGAGGGCTGGGGAGCCTCCCTTCCCCCTCGACAAGCTGCAGGCACTTGGACGACAACACTTGGTCCCTACATATCAATGTTCTAGAACTCCAGGCTGTAGTCAATGCCCTACACCACTTTCAGGCAGACGTAGTGGGTCGGTCTGTTCTAATCAAGACCGACAACACGACAGTGGTAGCATATATCAACAAACAGGGCGGTACAAAATCACCCCAGCTGTGCTACCGGACTTGGGAATGTTTCAGTGGCTAATCAGACACAAAGTCGATCTACGTGCCATTCACATTCCTGGTGCGGAAAACGACATAGCGGACTCTCTCTCCAGAGGCAAAGTAGTTCCCACGGAGTGGTCATTGAACAGGAGGATCGTACATCAGATCTTCTCGATCCTAGGTCGTCCACACATAGACCTGTTCGCCTCAGCAGTCAACACTCAGCTCCCGGTGTTCTGTTCGAGAGCCCATCATCCTCATGCATGGGCCTCGGACGCACTATCAATAGACTGGACAAACATGTTCGCTTACGCCTTCCCCCCGATCTCAATCCTTACAAAGGTCATCGGGAAACTGGAGAGAGACAGGTGCAAGATCCTGCTGATCGCCCCCCTTTTGGCCGCCGCCGCTCGGTTTCCGCGACTGGTGAGGCTCCTAGTGGGCTCCCCACTAATCCTCCCAGATCGTCACGACCTACTTGTTCAACCTCAGTCCCGGTTCCGACACCCATCTCCGGGAGATCTCCACTTAGCGTGCTGGCCACTGTCAAGCGTGCCTACCGAGCAGCAGGTCTTTCTGAAGACGCTGCAGCTCTGGCTGCAAAGGGACGTCGTCTCTCAACAAGACGAATCTATGACAGTCGACTACGACATTATAGTAGGTGGTGCGCAGAACAGGCTGTGGATCCGCTCTGTGCTTCTTTAAGCCATTGTTCGGAATTCCTACTGTCATTGTTCAGAGCCAATTTGTCAGTAGGAACAATACGAAATTATCGATCAGCCATAGCAGCAATTCACAAAGGCTTCGCTGATGGCTCATCTATCTCCTCTAATGTTGCAATCACTAACCTACTCCGGGGAATGTTCAACGAGAGACCTACAATCCGGAAACTGGTCCCATCCTGGGATCTAGGTCAGGTCCTGAACATTTTGGCCAAGGCTCCATACGAGCCCTTGGGCCAAGCACCCCTCATTCATGTATCTATAAAGTTGGCCTTCCTGCTCGCAGCGGCTACCGCTAGGCGTAGCAGCGAGATCCATGCGTTGACTTTAGATTCGGGACATATCCGCTGGGAACCAGGTGGGGTTCGCCTGATCCCAAAGGCGTCCTTCCTGACGAAAAATCAGACGGCAAGTTTCAGCCCTCCTGATATTTTCCTCCCAAAAATAGAGTCAACCTCTTCTATCCCCTCAGACAAATTATGGTGCCCAGTGCGCGCCCTAAAATGGTATCTGGCACGCACTAAGTCACTCAGGGATAAATGCATGCAGCTCTTTATTACAACCATAAAGCCACATGGCCCCGCCTCAAGGGACACCATTGCGCGTTGGGTAGTAGCTGCTATCAAATTTGCTAATGCGGACTGGCCATCCAAAAAGGATGCTTCTGTCCAAGGCCTTGTCCGAGCCCATGACGTACGCGCCGTAGCGGCGTCCTGGGCATTTTTTAGGGGAGTCCCTATTTCAGAGATTTCTCAAGCAGCATGCTGGAAGTCTGCCACGACATTCACATCCTGCTACCTACGTGATGTACTCCAGACTGGAGGGAACACAGGGAAGACGGTACTGACACAACACCAGTCCTCGTCTACGAACCCTACCCTGCGCAGTAGTTCTTCCCGGCCTGGCCAGGAGACCAACTAAGCAGGTAATACATTTACATGTATATTCAATCTAAATGGTCTAAATCATTATGTATATATATATATATACTGTTGTTTAACCATTTGATTCCAGGGCGTCTCGCCTACCCAGCCACCGATTGTCGGTGCCACTCTATGCATATGTAGTAGCTATTTGGGTAAGTGAATGAAGTAGACTCCCCCCCCACAGAAGTGTGGGACGAGTCTACGAGTGATACTTACCCAAATAGCTTTCCCGCCCTCCTCCCCACTCTCGGCTCGCGTTACGATGGTTTTTCACCTTTAGTGCGCGAGAAAAAGAGGAAGTATAATGGCGGATTCATGACGTAGCATGATGGGTAGGCCCCGAGAGGGCGCTCGGTGGTTGATTAAATCTTTTAGCGTTTGAGCCTGTCGGCTGAATAAATATGCATATGTAGTAGCTATTTGGGTAAGTATCACTCGTAGACTCGTCCCACACTTCTGTGGGGGGGGGGGGGGAGTTTTGGGGATATTTTATAAAAAGCCAAAAGTTTTGTTTCTCACCGGATACTGAATGTAATGAGTTGAACTCTTCAGGGAATTCAATTCTGGCCTCTAGGCACCTCATGTAAACTTTTGGGCAATTTTTGACGAGTTGGATTTTGGGTCAAAAACTGACTTTTTTGATGATGCCGGCTATGCAAAACATTGAAGTTTTGGGGACATTTTGTAAAAAGCCAAAAAGTTTTGTTTCTCACCGGATACTGAATGTAATGAGTTGAACTCTTCAGGGAATTCAATTCTGGCCTCTAGGCACCTCGTGTAAACTTTTGAGCAATTTTTGTCGATCTGGATTTTTGGGTCTAAAACTGACTTTTTCGATGATGCCGGCTATGGAAAACATTGAAGTTTTGGGGACATTTTGTAAAAAGCCAAAAAGTTGTGTTTTCTCACTGGATACTGAATGTAATGAGTTGAACTCTTCAGGGAATTCAATTCTGGCCTCTAGGCACCTCATGTAAACTTTTGGGCAATTTTTGTCGAGTTAGATTTTTGGGTCAAAAACTGACTTTTTCGATGATGCCGGCTATGGAAAACATTGAAGTTTTGGCGACATTTTGTAAAAAGCCAAAAAGTTTTGTTTTCTCACTGGATACTGAATGTAATGAGTTGAACTCTTCAGGGAATTCAATTCTGGCCTCTAGGCACCTTGTGTAAACTTTTGAGCAATTTTTGTCGAGTTAGATTTTTGGGTCAAAAACTGACTTTTTCGATGATGCCGGCTATGGAAAACATTGAAGTTTTGGGGACATTTTGTAAAAAGCCAAAAAGTTTTGTTTTCTCACCGGATACTGAATGTAATGAGTTGAACTCTTCAGGGAATTCAATTCTGGCCTCTAGGCACCTTGTGTAAACTTTTGAGCAATTTTTGTCGAGTTGGATTTTTGGGTCAAAAACTGACTTTTTTGATGATGCCGGCTATGGAAAACGTTGAAGTTTTTGGGGACATTTTGTAAAAAGCCAAAAAGTTTTGTTTTTTTACTGGATACTGAATGTAATGAGTTGAACTCTTCAGGGAATTCAATTCTGGCCTCTAGGCACCTCGTGTAAACTTTTGAGCAATTTTTGTCGAGTTGGATTTTTGGGTCAAAAACTGACTTTTTCGATGATGCCGGCTATGCAAAACATTGAAGTTTTGGGGACATTTTGTAAAAAGCCAAAAAGTTATGTTTCTCACCGGATACTGAATGTAATTAGTTGAACTCTTCAGGGAATTCAATTCTGGCCTCTAGGCACCTCGTGTAAACTTTTGGGCAATTTTTGTCGATCTGGATTTTTGGGTCAAAAACTGACTTTTTCGATGATGCCGGCTATGGAAAACATTGAAGTTTTGGAGACATTTTGTAAAAAGCCAAAAGTTTTGTTTTCTCACTGGATACTGAATGTAATGAGTTGAACTCTTCAGGGAATTCAATTCTGTCCTCTAGGCACCTCGTGTAAACTTTTGAGCAATTTTTGTTGTTCTGGATTTTTGGGTCAAAACTGACTTTTTCGATGATGCCGGCTATGCAAAACATTGAAGTTTTGGGGGTATTTTGTAAAAAGCCAAAAAGTTTTGTTTCTCACCGGATACTGAATGTAATGAGTTGAACTCTTCAGGGAATTCAATTCTGGCCTCTAGGCACCTCGTGTAAACTTTTGAGCTATTTTTGTCGAGTTGGATTTTTTTGGGTCAAAAACTGACTTTTTCGATGATGCCGGCTATGGAAAACATTGAAGTTTTGGGGACATTTTGTAAAAAACCAAAAGTTTTGTTTCTCACCGGATACTGAATGTAATGAGTTGAACTCTTCAGGGAATTCAATTCTGGCCTCTAGGCACCTTGTGTAAACTTTTGAGCAATTTTTGTCAATTTCGATTTTTGGGTCAAAAACTGACTTTTTTGATGATGCCGGCTATGCAAAACATTGAAGTTTTGGGGACATTTTGTAAAAAGCCAAAAGTTTTGTTTTCTCACTGGATACTGAATGTAATGAGTTGAACTCTTCAGGGAATTCAATTGTGGCCTCTAGGCACCTCATGTAAACTTTTGGGCAATTTTTGTTGAGTTAGATTTTTGGGTCAAAAACTGACTTTTTCGATGATGCCGGCTATGGAAAACATTGAAGTTTTGGGGACATTTTATAAAAAGCCAAACAGTTTTGTTTCTCACTGGATACTGAATGTAATGAGTTGAACTCTTCAGGGAATTCAATTCTGGCCTCTAGGCACCTCGTGTAAACTTTTGGGCAATTTTTGTCGAGTTGGATTTTGGGTCAAAAACTGACTTTTTCGACGATGCCGGCTGTGGAAAACATTGAAGTTTTGGGGACATTTTATAAAAAGCCAAAAAGTTTTGTTTCTCACCGGATACTGAATGTAATGAGTTGAACTCTTCAGGGAATTCATTCTGCCCTCTAGGCACCTCGTGTAAACTTTTGGGCAATTTTTGTCGAGTTGGATTTTTGGGTCAAAAACTGACTTTTTCGATGATGCCGGCTGTGGAAAACATTGAAGTTTTGGGGACATTTTGTAAAAAGCCAAAAAGTTTTGTTTTTTTACTGGATACTGAATGTAATGAGTTGAACTCTTCAGGGAATTCAATTTTGGCCTCTAGGCACCTCGTGTAAACTTTTGAGCAATTTTTGTCGAGTTGGATTTTTGGGTCAAAAACTGACTTTTTCGATGATGCCGGCTATGGAAAACATTGAAGTTTTGGCGACATTTTGTAAAAAGCCAAAAAGTTTTGTTTTCTCACTGGATACTGAATGTTAATGAGTTGAACTCTTCAGGGAATTCAATTCTGGCCTCTAGGCACCTCGTGTAAACTTTTGAGCAATTTTTGTCGATCTGGATTTTTTGGTCAAAAACTGACTTTTTCGATGATGCCGGCTATGCAAAACATTGAAGTTTTGGGGACATTTTGTAAAAAGCCAAAAAGTTTTGTTTCTCACCGGATACTGAATGTAATTAGTTGAACTCTTCAGGGAATTCAATTCTGGCCTCTAGGCACCTCGTGTAAACTTTTGGGCAATTTTTGTCGATCTGGATTTTTGGGTCAAAAACTGACTTTTTCGATGATGCCGGCTATGGAAAACATTGAAGTTTTGGAGACATTTTGTAAAAAGCCAAAAAGTTTTGTTTTCTCACTGGATACTGAATGTAATGAGTTGAACTCTTCAGGGAATTCAATTCTGTCCTCTAGGCACCTCGTGTAAACTTTTGAGCAATTTTTGTTGATCTGGATTTTTGGGTCAAAAACTGACTTTTTCGATGATGCCGGCTATGCAAAACATTGAAGTTTTGGGGACATTTTGTAAAAAGCCAAAAAGTTTTGTTTTCTCACTGGAAACTGAATGTTAATGAGTTGAACTCTTCAGGGAATTCAATTCTTTCCTCTAGGCACCTCGTGTAAACTTTTGAGCAATTTTTGTTGATCTGGATTTTGGGGTCAAAAACTGACTTTTTCGATGATGCCGGCTATGGAAAACATTGAAGTTTTGGGGACATTTTACAACAAGCCAAAAAGTTTTGTTTCTCACCGGATACTGAATGTAATGAGTTGAACTCTTCAGGGAATTCAATTCTGGCCTCTAGGCACCTCATGTAAACTTTTGAGCAATTTTTGTTGATCTGGATATTTGGGTCAAAAACTGACTTTTTCGATGATGCCGGCTATGCAAAACATTGAAGTTTTTGGGGACATTTTGTAAAAAGCCAAAAAGTTTTGTTTTTTACTGTATACTGAATGTAATGAGTTGAACTCTTCAGGGAATTCAATTCTGGCCTCTAGGCACCTCGTGTAAACTTTTGAGCAATTTTTGTCGAGTTGGATTTTGGGTCAAAAACTGACTTTTTCGATGATGCCGGCTATGCAAAACATTGAAGTTTTGGGGACATTTTGTAAAAAGCCAAAAAGTTTTGTTTCTCACCGGATACTGAATGTAATTAGTTGAACTCTTCAGGGAATTCAATTCTGGCCTCTAGGCACCTCGTGTAAACTTTTGGGCAATTTTTGTCGATCTGGATTTTTGGGTCAAAAACTGACTTTTTCGATGATGCCGGCTATGGAAAACATTGAAGTTTTGGAGACATTTTGTAAAAAGCCAAAAAGTTTTGTTTTCTCACTGGATACTGAATGTAATGAGTTGAACTCTTCAGGGAATTCAATTCTGTCCTCTAGGCACCTCGTGTAAACTTTTGAGCAATTTTTGTCGTTCTGGATTTTTGGGTCAAAAACTGACTTTTTCGATGATGCCGGCTATGCAAAACATTGAAGTTTTGGGGACATTTTGTAAAAAGCCAAAAAGTTTTGTTTTCTCACTGGAAACTGAATGTTAATGAGTTGAACTCTTCAGGGAATTCAATTCTTTCCTCTAGGCACCTCGTGTAAACTTTTGAGCAATTTTTGTTGATCTGGATTTTTGGGTCAAAAACTGACTTTTTCGATGATGCCGGCTATGGAAAACATTGAAGTTTTGGGGACATTTTATAAAAAGCCAAAAAGTTTTGTTTCTCACCGGATACTGAATGTAATGAGTTGAACTCTTCAGGGAATTCAATTCTGGCCTCTAGGTACCTCGTGTAAACTTTTGAGCAATTTTTGTTGATCTGGATTTTTGGGTCAAAAACTGACTTTTTCGATGATGCCGGCTATGCAAAACATTGAAGTTTTTGGGGACATTTTATAAAAAGCCAAAAAGTTTTGTTTTCTCGCTGAATACTGAATGTAATGAGTTGAACTCTTCAGGGAATTCAATTCTGGCCTCTAGGCACCTCGTGTAAACTTTTGAGCAATTTTTGTTCATCTGGATTTTTGGGTCAAAAACTGACTTTTTCGATGATGCCGGCTATGGAAAACATTGAAGTTTTGGGGACATTTTGTAAAAAGCCAAAAAGTTTTGTTTTTTTACTGGATACTGAATGTAATGAGTTGAACTCTTCAGGGAATTCAATTCTGGCCTCTAGGCACCTCGTGTAAACTTTTGAGCAATTTTTGTCGAGTTGGATTTTTGGGTCAAAAACTGACTTTTTCGATGATGCCGGCTATGGAAAACATTGAAGTTTTGGGGACATTTTATAAAAAGCCAAAAAGTTTTGTTTCTCACTGGATACTGAATGTAATGAGTTGAACTCTTCAGGGAATTCAATTCTGGCCTCTAGGCACCTCGTGTAAACTTTTGAGCATTTTTGTCGAGTTGGATTTTTGGGTCAAAAACTGACTTTTTCGATGATGCCGGCTATGGAAAACATTGAAGTTTTGGGGACATTTTATAAAAAGCCAAAAAGTTTTGTTTCTCACCGGATACTGAATGTAATGAGTTGAACTCTTCAGGGAATTCAATTCTGGCCTCTAGGCACCTCGTGTAAACTTTTGAGCAATTTTTGTTGATCTGGATTTTTGCGTCAAAAACTGACTTTTTCGATGATGCCGGCTATGGAAAACATTGAAGTTTTGGGGACATTTTGTAAAAAGCCAAAAAGTTTTGTTTTTTTACTGGATACTGAATGTAATGAGTTGAACTCTTCAGGGAATTCAATTCTGGCCTCTAGGCACCTCATGTAAACTTTTGAGCAATTTTTGTCGAGTTGGATTTTTGGGTCAAAAACTGACTTTTTCGATGATGCCGGCTAAGGAAAACATTGAAGTTTTGGGGACATTTTATCAAAAGCCAAAAAGTTTTGTTTCTCACCGGATACTGAATGTAATGAGTTGAACTCTTCAGGGAATTCAATTCTGGCCTCTAGGCACCTCGTGTAAACTTTTGAGCAATTTTTGTTGATCTGGATTTTTGGGTCAAAAACTGACTTTTTCGATGATGCCGGCTATGCAAAACATTGAAGTTTTTGGGGACATTTTATAAAAAGCCAAAAAGTTTTGTTTTCTCGCTGAATACTGAATGTAATGAGTTGAACTCTTCAGGGAATTCAATTCTGGCCTCTAGGCACCTCGTGTAAACTTTTGAGCAATTTTTGTCGAGTTGGATTTTTGGGTCAAAAACTGACTTTTTCGATGATGCCGGCTATGCAAAACGTTGAAGTTTTTGGGGGTATTTTGTAAAAAGCCAAAAAGTTTTGTTGCTCACCGGATACTGAATGTAATGAGTTGAACTCTTCAGGTAATTCAATTCTGGCCTCTAGGCACCTCGTATATACTTTTGAGCAATTTTTGTTGAGTTGGATTTTTTGGGTCAAAAACTGACTTTTTTCGATGATGCCGGCTATGCAAAACATTGAAGTTTTGGGGACATTTTGTAAAAAGCCAAAAAGTTTTGTTTTCTCACTGGATACTGAATGTAATGACTTGAACTCTTGAGGGAATTCAATTCTGGCCTCTAGGCACCTCATGTAAACTTTTGAGCAATTTTTGTTGATCTGGATTTTTGGGTCAAAAACTGACTTTTTTGATGATGCCGGCTATGGAAAACATTGAAGTTTTGGGGACATTTTATAAAAAGCCAAAAAGTTTTGTTTTCTCACTGGATACTGAATGTTAATGAGTTGAACTCTTCAGGGAATTCAATTCTGGCCTCTAGGCACCTCGTGTAAACTTTTGAGCAATTTTTTTTGATCTGGATTTTTGGGTCAAAAACTGACTTTTTCGATGATGCCGGCTATGGAAAACATTGAAGTTTTGGGGACATTTTGAAAAAGCCAAAAATGTTTATTTGCTCACTGGATCCTGACTGTAGTTAGCTGAAATCTCTCGGGGATTTATTTCTGGATCATTAGGGTCAAAATCTGATTTGGTTAAAACTCAAAATACTCCTTTCAGAAATCACTTGGTACAATTACATTTCTCATGCCTAAACACGAATGCTTTGGCCTGCAGCTTTGAAATATTTGACGTTTTATTTGACATGGCCGTACTCATATTTTTAATCTTGTTTCAAATCAGTGTTTTTTGGTCTAACATTTGCATTTCTCCGGTTTTGCTTTGCGCCCACAGTCCAGACTTCCTGTGTATTTCTCCCACTCACCTGCTGGCACCTCAGTTCAAGACATGATCCATTTCGCTCAGGTAACTCTTGATGTTCTAGTGCATAAAAACATGCAAATAATAAAAGTGGTTATCAGAATAACTAAGGTACATGGTTAAAGATGGACACATGCAATGTTCTAATTTGTTATTTCACAATGTACAATGCGTTTGATAAGTTGGAACCATAGAGCTACATGTATATTAAATTACTAGAGCGTTGACTCATGTACAAAGTGATGCCTGCTGGAACTCAAATTTTGTATGTTTTATTTTACGGCTATTTGCATATCTGCGTTTGTATTCCATACCGGTGCGTTATCGAAGCCAATGCACCCAAAACCTGAAAGCATGATCAGCAAATGAGCGTTTGATTTTGCTCTAAGCAAACGGCGCAACACGTGCGCATATCCGCTGCAGATGATTAACCGTGACTTTTTAAACCGTCATTTTTTAAACCGTCATGACGCGCCTTAAACCGTCATGACATGCCTAGCGCGTCGCATTTAGAGTACACTTTCAAAATTCAATCCATCTAATTCCATTGTGTTCTACAAACACGCACATGAACTCAAAATGTCTGCGCCCAAGATGGCTTCAAAGCATCGCGCGCATATCCGCTGCAGATGTTTAACCGTGACTTTTTAAACCGTCATGACGCGCCTAGCGCGTCACATTTAGAGTACACTTTCAAAATTCAATCCATCTAATTTCATTGTGTTCTACAAACACGCACATGAACTCAAAATGTCTGCGCCCAGGATGGCTTCAAAGCATCTCAGCGCGCAAGAATGGGGTGTTAGCGCTTTAGAAATTTAATATAGCTCTGTGGTTGGAACTAACATAATAATTCATCTCTTTTGGATTGCTGCAGACATTTTGTGGATAACTGGATATTTGCAAAATTGCACAAAGATTGTTCATACGACTGTTAAGAATTAAAACCCTTACATTCTCCTTCCACACAGTGTAAGAGAGGAGGCAGAACATTTGTGTAAAAGATAACAGATGAAGGAAGAAAGAGTCTTCATGTTTTCTCAGCCCATAAATTGTCAGCAGAGTAACACATTGTTTTGTTTTTCTCCGAAAAATAGACAAAAAAGTGCCAAGGTCAGCTTGTAGACAGATCTGTGGTGAATGGTCAGATTTTTCCGTGTTGGTCCTAATGATTTGAATCATGTTTGTGTTTGTTTTAAGATGGTGTCCTCTGGCGAATTCCAGATGTATGACTATGGTACCAAGAAGAGGAACATGGCCAGATACAATCAAGTACGTGGATAAGACCCCCCCAAAATATTAATCTTTCTGCTTCCGATTACAAGGTATTTGAAAATAGGGTAGGAAGGTATGAAATGTTTGGGTTTATTTTTTTTTTAAATATCATATGGAGTTGTTTGCGCGTAGTCAAGGGTCAAAAGTAGTAAATTGATGGTTGTCGGGGTTGTCCTCATTTTCCCCCTAAAACAGATTTGGGTAGGGGCTGTCTTTTTAGGCCTAAGAGTTCAACATTATAAACCAGTTGGGTGACAAGTCATATCTTGGGTTTAACCACTGATCTTTATATATACATGTACTAAGAGGCTTACACATGAATGGTATATGTAGAAACGCAAGGCTCCTTTTGAACAAGGTGATTACTAAAATGCCTCCATGCCTCCACTTTTAAGAAACTGATGGACATACACATAATTGTTGTTTTACCTTGGTAATGGCTGCTAACTCTATTTGCTGAATTAGCAGTATAAGGGTGATCATTTGTCCAACTTACGCTTGACTTGTGAAAACTCCTGTTTGGCCCTGCTATAAGACTGCAGTATTTGATGAACCTGAAATTGTTAAAAAGGGATCTTTAAAACTGCAAGTTTAAATTACTGCGACTGAGCTATCCAGCCTGAAGTTGGAAGTAAGTCTGTTGTAATTTTATGAAAACCTATTAAAACTAAACCTGTCAAGTTTCCATTTAGCATGTTTTTAGCGTCATGTGACTAGACAAGACAGTGTCGACAAATGTTCTTCTACTGCAGTCACCTTTTCATGTTTAAAGAAAAGTTGTTTTATATTGTACCAAAACTTTGGTTTATTTGGACAATGTGTATTATTTAATATTGGACTTTGTTGGGGATTAGTTACAGTCATTCAGCTAATATTTGTTGTACAGTTCTTCCTAGTTTGGCATCAAGTCTGATGTGTCAGTATCGTCAAGTTTGAAATTGAATCACACTGTGGATTTAACTGAGCAAATAGGAATAGTAAATGAAGCCTTGAGTCCAAGACTACCAGTGACTTGAATGTAGGCTGTAGATGTCAGTACAAGTTAAAACAGTCATTTAGGTGTCATGTAATTAAATATATTTGGAATAGGTTGCGAACATTATCTACAACAGGTCAATTATATCAGGTGAGTAGTTGCAGGATTCTGTTAACTGCAGGAAGATCCCGAAGAAAAGGTTTGGAATCCTGGAACTGGTAATCAATACAACTGGCCTATCGGAGATAAACTTGTCTATGACTTATTCCAGAGATGCCTTAATATCGATATTCAATTAACCTTTGTGACTTGCTCTTTTTGCTCATGGACAGACCACTCCCCCGCTGTACTACCCGGAGAAGATCTCCGTCCCCGTCTCTCTGTACTGGGGAGGTCAGGACTGGCTGGCCGATCCCAAGGACGTTGAGCTCCTGATCCCAAGACTGAGGAACCTGCGGGAGAGCATCTACATCCCGCAGTATGACCACCTGGACTTCATCTGGGGCACAGACGCCCCGCAGTGGGTCTACGAGCCCATCATCGAGACCATTCGGGCAGAGGAGAGCCACGGACCTATATCAGATGAGAATGAGACGGTTGCTGAAGACGAGGTAGAGAATGCCGAAGACGAATCTCCATCCTCAGTCAGTGAGGCGATCATGGAGTACTACAAGAAGATAGAAGACATGAAGCTCAAGATGCAAGCTCCTGACATCTAATCCCTCTCCCTTGCGAGATATTTCTTAGCCTTCTTTGTTTTTATTTGTATGCCATGTATTATAGATTAGAATAGCTAACCCTCCTATACTTGTAACTATCACAAACTGTCCAAAAAAACCTAACCCCTACCTCTCTCCATAGCTTTTGTATACAGGATGGTCACCAACTACCAGAAACCCCTTTGGATTACACCATATCGAAAGATTTCCATATAAGAAGTTCACTAATTTTCCTCTGTATTGACTAACAAGCCCCCAGATAGCAATTTTATGTCATCAAAGTCAATTTGAGCAGTGAGAAAATACAAGCATTTTCTTAGAAAACACTTAAAATTTTTCAGTCCACTCTCATAGGGTTTGTACACAGGGTGTTGAGTGAACTTCTTATATGGAAATCTTTCCCACCATATAATCGCCAAAGCCTGGTTAAGTGATTTGATAGATAGGCTGACCATTAACACTGGTACAGATTGTGTAGCGGCCATTCCAACCTGTCAATTTGTGCCAATATGAGGCCAGTTTACAGACCTGTCACAAATTGTAACCTAACAGATTTGGACACATAGGGTAACTCACTATTGTCACTGACAGAGGTCAGAGTGTAATGGTCCGTGTAAAGAGACCCATGTTACTGGCACTGCCTTTCTCACTGACCATCCCCAATTCATATTTTACTTTGCACACAATGTTCTTATTCAAGTTCACCATCTTTTTAAGCTTGTACTTGGGGCTAAAGATGGATGGTTTGACATCAAAGAACCTACATTGATCACCTCATTTCTACAGCCTGTCTAAAAAAAATGGTACAATCAGAAATGAAATTGGTTAAATATGAAATTTCAAAATAAGTCATTCTTACTTGGCATAATATTAAAGAAAAAAAGACTGGGCTTTCCAATAGTGTTTGATCTTATTTGCTTTTGTCAATTCAGAGATATAATAAATTTAGTGCGATACACCAAAATCGATTTTGTGCCAATTTTATGCATGGGCAGAGTTGTTTCGAGTACTTTTGTGCCATGCTGTCTTGAAGCTCACACCCAGAAAGTGGCACAAACTCGGTTTTTGTGTTCCGCAGTAAACTGGAGTTATCTCTGGATTGACAAAAGCAAATGAGATGAAACAAAAAGTATTGGAAAGCCTGGTCTTTTTTCTTTAATGTGATGCTCAAAACGACTTACCTCTGTTGAGATTTAATATTGAAAAAAAATCGTTTTCGATTGTACCATTTTTTTTTTAGACAGGCTGTAGTTCACTTTCCCCTGGTTTCCAGTTGATATTCAAGCTGATATTTTTTTCAGTCAGATTTGTTAGCAAGGGACTGATAAAAAAAACTTGAGGAGACAAGTAGATTGTTCTACGAGTATGACGCCTGTTTTAAAATTGGAATTACAAACACTTAAAAACACCTCTTTTTTTTAGCCAGTTTTTGGCTCCTGTCGCATTCCTCTCATAAGCGAGTACAAAATCAAGTTGGCATTCTGTTTTAAAGGGAATGTACATCATTGGCTTTTGCTGTAATTTTTAGAAATGAACTATTTGAGGGGTTGGTATAATAGATCAATATTGTTACACTGACATGTGTGAAGTTTTGTGTTCGAAAATGCTGGAAAACACAGAAAAACAAAAATGTTCAAGTAGTCTGGTTCCCTGACTCCACTAAAGATAAAATGGATCAATTTAAAGATGCCGGAAAATAGTAAGGTAAGGGAACCAGTTTAGCTTGCCTGCACCCGTTCATGGATATGTAACCAATAGCAAACAAAATTTGGACTGAAAAAAAAAAAATGGTAAATTTAGAGCGGTAGGTGAAAAATGGTTTTTCCAACGGTGGTCGGCCGACCACCGTTGGAAATGTATACAAAAATACCATTTTCTTGAAAAGGACTTCTCACCAGGTGCCATAATTTTACAGGATGCTTAAGACTGTCATTTACCAACATCCTAGTAAGGTATTTCGTAAAAACTTGTTTTATTTTTCGATGTTTGCAATTTGGATATTTTTATCCAAGAGACCGGAGAGATGTGCTCAAAATCATAATAAGTTCCATATGTAAAGAGTCCATGATACTGGCTTCCTTGTGCACTGGCTGTTGGTACATTAAAAAAAAATGTAAATCAATAAATCTGTCAAAATTGTGACAAATAAAATATACCAGTTGCCATGGAAACTTGCCACTCGATGTGTTACTTAAAAAACATAAATCTTGTCCAAAAAAAAATTCTTTGAATAGAAATAGACCACTTTAAAAAATATAAACATCAATTTATTTGTATCTTAACTTGTAATTGCATGAATTTGTATTCCTCAGAAAGATATTTTGTGTAGTGTCATTAGTATAAGCCATTCATTGCTTGTACATTACAATAAAGCTGCATGATGTTCAATTTTTGATATTAAAATTTCAGAAGTTGATGTTGCTTACTTGTTGTTTCCTGAATGTCGTGTTCCGTTGTTTGTTTTTTTATAGCCTTAACAGTCTTTTTTTATGATTTTGCAGAATCGCCCCTATATGGAGTTAGGGTCACTAATTTTCGTGAAATTTCATGTTGAAATTTTGATATGCAAGCGTGTGCAAACGAATCTGGGAATTTCATGAAAAATAGACATCTGAAAAAGGCAGCACTTTAAGTTGAGTTGTTCATCGGAGAACAAGTTGTTAATTTTGTTCAATAGTGCAGCATCGGCTGGTCTCTCACTTTAATAGTCTTTCAGTAGAGGGCGCGCCACATAAATAGTGGTCTCGATAATTATCTACCATCAAACTCGTTTGGGGGGCAACAACTCCAGAAATACAGGATGTATTAAATTGAATTTTCCTGTAATGATTTATCATTATGTTTAACATTAGGAGATTTAATTTCATAAGAAACCGTCAAAGAATGAAGCTAAATTGACCGTAACAATACAGTGTTTTAAGCTCGACAAATGCAGTCCGAATATGAAAGTCGATGTGAATTTTTCGCGAGTAAAACACCACATTGTTACAATCATATTATTTTTGTTGTTGCACTGTTTCTCATGATATTCAATACACCTCCGACACACATTGTGGAAAATCAGTGCACGAAATTTCAGTTTAATAAATCTCGTATTTCTTGAGTTGTTCATCGGAAAACGAGTTGTTAATTTTGTTCAATAGTGCAGCATCGGCTAGTCTCGCACTTTAATATTCTTTCAGTAGAGGGCGCGCCACATAAATAGTGGTCTCGATAATTATCTACCACCAAACTCGTTTTGGGGCAACAACTCCAGAAATACAAAATGTATTAAATTGAATTTTCGTGAAGTGATTGGTCATTATGTTTAACATTAGGAGATTTAATTTCAGAAGAAACCGTCAAACAATGAAGCTATATAGACCGTAACAATACAGTGTTTTAAGCGCGACAAATGCAATCCGAATGAAAGTCAATGTGGATTTTTCGCCTGTAAAACACTACATTGTTACGATCATATTATTTTTGTTGTTGCACTGTTTTTCATGATATTCAATACAGCTCCGACACACATTGTGAAAAATCAGTGCACGAAATTTCAGTTTAATACATCTCGTATTTCTTGAGTTGTTCATCGGAAAACGAGTTGTTAATTTTGTTCAATAGTGCAGCATCGGCTAGTCTCGCACTTTAATATTCTTTCAGTAGAGGGCGCGCCACATAAATAGTGGTCTCGATAATTATCTACCACAGAACTTGTTTGGGGGATAACAACTCCAGAAATACAAGATGTATTAAATTCAATTTTGGTGTAGTGATTGGTCATTATGTTTAACATTAGGAGATTTAATTTCATAAGAAACCATCAAACAATAAAGCTATATTGACCGTAACAATACAGTGTTTTAAGCGGGACAAATGCAATCCGAATGAAAGTCAATGTGGATTTTTCGCCTGTAAAACACTACATTGTTACGATCATATTATTTTTGTTGTTGCACTGTTTCTCATGATATTCAATACACCTCTGACACACATTGTGGAAAATCAGTGCACGAAATTTCAGTTTAATACAAAATGAGTTGTTAATTTTGTTCAATAGTGCAGCATCGGCTAGTCTCGCACTTTAATATTCTGTCAGTAGAGGGCGCGCCACATAAATACTGGTCTCGATAATTATCTACCACAGAACTCGTTTGGGGGGCAACAACTCCAGAAATACAATATGTATTAAATTGAAATTTTGTGTACTGATTTGTCATTATGTTTAACATTAGGAGATTTAATTTCATGAGAAACCATCAAACAATAAAGCTATATTGACCGTAACAATACAGTGTTTTAAGCGCGACAAATACAATCCGAATGAAAGTCAATGTGGATTTTTCGCGTGTAAAACACTGCATTGTTACGATCATATTATTTTTGTTGGTGCACTGTTTCTCATGATATTCAATACACCTCTGACACACATTGTGGAAAATCAGTGCACAAAATTTCAGTTTAATACATCTTGCATTGATGAAGAGGGTGAGTATGCTTTTGAAATAAACTACAAACTAAGCCTAAATATGAAAATCAAAAAAATTGACAAAGTTCTACATGTTTTTTTACTTGGTGGAAGTGTGGCCTTTATTTACTGAGGTAGTCCAGAAAATTGGCCACATTTATGGGGCTACCGTACTAGTAACCAACTCCGACGACACCCTTGGGCCGCAAAAGAGGGAATTTCTAACAGGGAAAAGTAAAAGAGCACAAATCTGCTAGGCCCATGCAACTTCTCTTGACAAGCCCGGAACCGCCTTGCGTTATTTCTCCATGTTTCAACAAACACCTGTGGCTATAAGAACAAAAGGTGGAAAGAAGTCAGACAAATTTCATCCACTTTTCCGAAGTCCACCTCGTAAAATGGGTAGCTGCATTTTTGTGCACTCATTCCATGCTCATCACAGGCTCAAGCGACACATCAGCTTTGCCAAAAAAGGCAAGTTAGATTTGACGCCTGTTTCATCTCTACTGTTTAATATCATGGCGATTCTTTGAAAATAATTCAGAGTTTTCCACTTTAAAGCGGGCCGCCTAAGGTTAGATTAAATTTCTGGAGGTACATTAACAAATCATTAAAAAAAAATATGAATAAATTATCCGTGCCAGTTTTCCTCCAATATTACTAACATGAATTCAGTTAGCGGTAATTGGCTTTAAAAATTGAATAAAGTTGACAAAACTTCACGGCGTGTGGGTAAAATACGTTTAATACGGGACCTAACATTTTGCTGATAAAAGCTGTTTGGCACTTTTAGATTACGATACGGAGCGATTGGGAAAATGATACGATTGGGAAAATGATATCTCCACGTAATGATCTGCAATGGCGGCAATAATTATAATAATAAACAAGATCAGTAGCGGGACACCCCTCCCCCCCCCCCCCCCGCTGACTAATGTTTTGAAAGATGTAAATTTGGCCAAAATAGAATGGATACCATACTTCCTACATTAATAGATGGGATTTTTTTTAACATCTATTTCATTCCAACATTGGCTTCGATACATTTTCTTTTCAAGGAAAGTTATATGGCGACTTTGAGGTATGTATGTCGTTGTTTTGCTTTTAAAAACATCTAAATCTATTATATGACGTGCCAAATTTTAAGAGTAAAATTTCTATGGAGCCAGTGATGAAGCCGATCTTCCGAAGCGAAGCCGAAGTTTCAAAAATGTCTCAAGCCAAGCACAGGGAAAGAGGGCGCTGTTCCAGAAAATCTCACACAAAATGGTGAATAGTTTACTGCGGCTCCAGGCAACGTGAGAATTGAAAATGACGTTGGTCGAAAATTGATCTTTATTTCAATTAAGATTTGATAAATTACTTTGTATGCGGAAACTGGCTTATATGGAACTTAACAGTTGTGTTCTGGTGTCCTGATATGCAAGAAAGAATGGAGTTTTGAGGTGAGAAAAACCGACATTGTCCTGCCAGCGCCAGATATGCAGATCATTCTGTCAATTTGTTGTGTCACTGTCAATGTCTGTTTCATTTCATGCATTTAGGCCTATGCCAGTATGCGTTTACGGTGTTGGCCGGTTTTACATACATACAGCATTGTACAGTGCTATTGTTACCAGGAACGCAAAAGATTGAGTGCCTCTGAGTCTGACAGTCTTACTTAAGCTCTGTCATGTCTGTATGTACCGGGTCAAGTTTGGGAAAAAATTCCATACTCGGACGTCACTTTTTTCAATTAATTTTCTAGCGCCAAAAGTTACATCTTTTATGGTTATTCCTCCACTTTCCGTCCTCTACTCTCACCCTCTACTTTCCTTAATTTCTATTTATTAATCAGTCAGTTACTTCATCGGGATTCGAACCTCTGACGCTTGCTTGATACACGAGACTCTTAACCGCTAGGCCGCGCACGATCGCTGTTGCAATCATCAATCTTTGGACGTATTTGAAGTATCCATTGAAATAAACTAAATATTCATGAGAAAATAAATATTCATAAGACGTATTGAACTATCATTGGCAGGCTCATGCGACGTCATGGTTGTTGATGTCACGTGTATAACGTACCGCTGTCTTTTCAGCCACTACAATCAGTTTTGACCGGCTGCTTCAAGTTAGTTCTGCACGACGTATGCATCCAAAATGTGCTCTAAAAACACATTTTGAGTACATTTTTTTCGCCTTTACACAGCTTCCTGGATTTGTTTTGGTTCAAATGACAAGGTGAGGTGACAATAAATATGTTTGGCAGCAGATAAATTGACATCCGAGTATGGAACTTTTCCCCAAGTTTGTTTGGAAAATATGCATTTTTTTTGGGGGGGGGGGGGCCGGGGAGCGATTCGTTTTAGTCCTGAGAGTGTTTTACCATTTCCAAAATGACTTTCAAATGAAGAATTTACTTAGAAAATGCATTTTTTTTTCAGTTGATGGAAAGATTTCCATTTATGAAGTTCACTAATTTTCCTCTGTATTGACTAACAAGCCCCCAGATAGCAATTTCATGTCATCAAAGTCAATTTGAGCAGTGAGAAAATACAAGCATTTCCTTAGAAAACACTTAGAATTTTTCAGTCCAATCTCATAGGGTTTGTACACAGGGTGTTGAGTGAACTTCGTATATGGAAATCTTTCCCAGTTGATGACTAGTCCGAGTAACTTGGACCCGACTTATCGCCTTTTTAACATTCGGACATGGTCTGGCGATAGTAGGGTCCAAGCTAATCCGTGTATGCCGAGCAACACAATTTTGTCCTTGACCCAAAAACCAACATTGCCCAACAAAAACATAGATTTCACCCTCAAAATGGCCTACAAATTACAATATATATTGTTTATTATTTGTTTAAGCGCCTTGAGGTGGATTTTTCTGTGATTGTCTGCGCTTTATAAATTTCTTATTATTATAGGCCACCTGAGGTACATTTAGACATCGATGATTAAGATGGTTGTACCAAAGTTTACTTTCGATCCAGATGAAGAGTGAAATTTCCCGTTCAATTCCGAGAGCTCCCCTTGCAATCATGAACATGTTAAATTTCTGTATCGTGTTAATGTTTTGTTTGAACGACGCGATGTGGTCTTCATGCCCAGCGTACAATCGATGGTCCTTGTATCCGAGTGTGATTCCGTTACTGAGCGCGATGCATTGATTATGATAATGAGAAGACTGGATCACGTTTGTAAACACAAGTGCATTTCGAACGGTAAAAGGGAGTCGGGAACTAGCTTGAACTGGTTTCTGCCCATAAAAGCTGCCCTAGTTCCTGACTCCCTGTTATCGCGACTGTATATCCCCAGTGTATTACAAAAATGGCCAATTTTCCCTCTATTATCCCAACCCAGATTCCTTAACCCTAACCGCCCTGAATCCTCCAAAATCCTTTTTGCAAATTGGAGGAATTTGCAGGATTGAGGTTACATGGCAAAAGTGCGTTGCTGATTTCGGAGTACGCACTGTGTCAAGGTCTTGGGCCGGACCTTGTGTTGTTTATGCTCAGCCGTGCATACATTTAGTCCTTGATTATACTTGACATCCTCCGCACTGCTCCAGGATGTCACTGCCTCTGCCTCAGCCTATTGACAGTCATAGCCGGAGGATTTTGCAGGATTCAGGCAGTGGTCACCCCTCCATGGACCATATTCAAGAAATAACGGAGGACTTTGCAGGATTGAGGCTATATGCTATTTTTCCATGAGGCCAATTGGAGGATTTTGCAGGATTGAGGCTTCATCCTAGCAAAAAGGCCTAGGGAGTTAGGGTTAATGTCTCATGCCATGCAGCGGTTATTCATGAAGTGATTAATCGACTTCGAACAGAGCAAGAAAGACTAAAATATGAAATTTGTGGATAATTTTGGCGGCGATTCTCCAGAAATCATCCATTGCCATGGCTGTTGTGCATATCTTCTGTACGTATCATGAATACAAATGAAAGCATCGCATGATCACAATAGATTTTCGAAATCGCTCCACCCACTAGTCCTGTGCATGTACCTTCATGCAGCGTGCGTGATGTATGTGGGTACCATACCGCTTTCAGGTGTGCTAGTGGTTTCAATTTTCGTCTGGTGCGATGTTGTGGAAAGCAAGACAATACAAACACAAATATGCAAATAGCTGTACAAATGCCGTACAAGTTTATAGCAGTGCTTTATTTGTGATTCTAACTTTTTAAAATATGAATAAAAGGACCTTTGTTCCTCTCTAAGTGCAGGCGAAGCTGTCCAACACCAATTTGAGTCAACAGCGAAGTCATGTCTCTCTTCAAGGCACGGGACTGGTGGTCTCACACCATAGGGTCAGATGATGGCTTTGATCAGGGCAGCTTGTGTGTGGCCAACATCGACAACAATTCCAACCACCACGGTAAAGACAGATGAACATCACTGTTTCAGAAATAAGCAAAAAATCTCACATTAAATTACAGGATTTTATAAACTGATACGTCTGCATCCTGCAGTGCGTACTGCGCTGGATGCTTGACGGACACATGGATTTTTGGCCTTAACCACTAAAATTGGGTTTTTCCTCCACTGACTTTGAGAACTTGTGAGAAAGAATGTCAAATTTGCCACTGAATTAAGAAAATCTGTCAGTTTCAAAGATTGGCTTCCTAAACAGCAGGGCGATCAGGTGCAATACAACTTGAGAGACAGCCAAAAGATCTCTAGAGGTGTAAGACCAACAGATATACAAACAGTGTTATTCCTTATTTAATTGGCCTCTTAAATGCAAAATAATTTGGTCCATCTAAAAGGCATCTATGCCTGCTCGCCATCAATAGTAACAGTGCTATATGTACATGTATCTTAAAGTTTTTAGCCTAATGATTTTTTGAAGGTGTATTTTAGTAAGCATCCATTCTTTTAGGGGGGGGGGGGCCTGTGTTTTCAACGTATTGGTGTGTGCATATATATTTTTGGTGCTGGTTCTGGTAATTGTTACATTTGTTTTTACATGTATTTGTTGTTTTGTTTCAAGGCAGGAACCACCTACAATGGTTTAGTCATATTCCAAAGTGCAATTTCGGGTGTTGTTTTTTCTTAAGTTGTATTTTAGCAACCATCCACTTTTCTAAGGGGGGGGGGGTGTTTGTTTAGATATATATTTTTGTGTTGAGTTTTGATATCGTGTAGTGTTGTTTGCTCTTGTACTTATCTTAATATATTTTATTATTGTTAGTAACTTGTGGTGTCTTGTGTATGTGTATAACATGTTTATTTTTCTGAGGAAGTATTTCAATTGTGTTATGTCTTTTAATGTTTATATGATGTTTTTTATTGTAAAAATTGATGCAATTTAGCCTTTGGCTACAAGTTCAATTTGAATAAACCAATAATAATAATAATAAAGCTTGATTGAGCTGGGACTCATACTCAGGACCCCTCTACGTGTAGTAAGACATTTCCACTTAACTACTTTTAATAGAATTTTTCTTGTTTCCATCCGACAGATAAAGTGATTGTTGGCGGCTTTAATGGCGTGCTGCGTATTTACCAGCCGCGAGGTTCCCAAGGCGAGGCCAACAAGGCGGAAGCTGTACTGTTAGAGATGCAGTTACCACAGCCAATACTGCAGGCGGAGGCCGGGCGATTTGTCTCGTAAGTAAACAAAGCCACTACATTCAGCGTTGGCTCATTTAGAGTTCAGTTTGTTTTTGCCCTGTCTGTTTGGTACAAGTTAACAGTTGGGTGAAAAAAAAGAGACAAACAAGCAAGGATTTATTTTATGAGGTTTTCCAAACTTTGCTTTCGTCTAAGAGTTATGATTTCAAGAGAATTTAAGGGATCTGATTTAGGGGATTATGGCTCTGTACATTGATTTTCTTATTTAGGAAATCAAATCTACCAGTATGAGGCCAAAGTTTACATTATAAAGGCTTCCATTAGTCCAAAAAAAAAAAGTCTCCGGTTTCTGGTATGTGCGCGCGTCGCCGTAGCCATGCGCGTCGGCAAAATGAAAAAGTTTTTTTTTCAATGAAAGATGATGTCTCAAAACCGCCAAACTCACTGGTTTGACTGGAATCCTGCTGCTGCACAATTTTAACCTGTTTTTAGATGGGGTTATGATCGAGAATAAGCTTTATGTGGCCTCTCTGGTTTCCCATAATATTTGCACTAAGTTTAGTCGGGCACCATTTGCAGTCATCAGCCGACATTTGAAGCAAAAAAAACAGGTAAAAAAAAAAAAAGCCACGTCGCCGAACCACTTTTTGGGAAAGCTCCATACCAGAAACCGGAGACTTTTTTTTTTTGGCCTTAACACTTCCCTCTCTGGTGGCAATTTTAACAAGGCCAGCCCAGCAGTCAAAATAAATCAAGTGACTGTTTTTCACAGTTGAGTGCTTCCTGCTTTCTTAACCCTTACTCTCTGAGGGTAGTTTACTGCATGTCAGTTGGTTATGCCAATGCCCTCCAGCTGCAGTTTATCGGAGGATACTTTGATGTAGCAGTGAAGGCTCCAATTGGCAGGAGTTGGAGGCCCTGGAGGGTGCCTGATACTGACCAGCTGGGGGCACTTGATTGTTATCAGAGGACTCTCATTGTTCTCTGTGGCATGTATTGGAATGCCTGTCCAGTTACCCTTGAAATGATATGGCAGATATTGGAGGGCCATGCAAAAAACATAGGAGATTTTCTTGAGGCACAATTGGCATGCGTTGGAGGGTCTAGTAGGGTAAGGGTTAATTAAAGCAGGATTGACTGGCTGGGATTGCAATGAAACCTGATATTGCTACGCTTTGACTGTAGGAGATTGATAAACCAACTGTTCCTACAAGTTTCCTGCTTTTGTCTTTTGATGGAAATTGCCTAGTCACAGTGCCTATAAGAAATATGATCTGAGTGTTGGTGATTAGCTTGTGTAAAAAGGCATGGCAGGGGAACACGATTGAATTTTTGACTTTCTGTGATTGATCAAACAAAAGAGGGTTAAGGGGTTTGCCAGCTTCAGATTCGATCCTGGCTTCAGCTTTGTTTCATTTTTTTAAAGGAAACAAAACTGCCAGCAACTCACAGGCAATCTTTGTATCACACCTCACATTAATACTTTTTTTTTGGGGGGGGGGGGGCAAACTCGTACAGGCAATGTCGCAATCAGATGAGCCAGTTAAGTCTTCATAACTCCTGGGAATGGTTTCAGTGAGGCTCTACTTGAAGTGAACCCAGAACTGTGTTGACGATATGGTGGATTCTCTATGTTTTCTTTCTAAATTCCAGTGTCTCTGAGAAACTTCACCTTGCAGTTCTACACCCGCGAAAACTGACCGTTTACAGTGTTTCAGGTGAGCTAAGAACATTCTTCCTCTGTTGTGTAATGGTTGATCTTCACGGATCATGCTGGTGAGTCATAAATGGAGGAAACAGCACAAGCGACCACTAAACGCCGAGTCAGAAAGGAACAGATAATGAGGCTAATCATCTGTTATTCCTTTGGTATTAGGCCTAATTGACAGACTATTTCTGTTCCCTCTTGATGGGGTGCCCGTCAATTGCAGGTAACTGCCCAGCTAACATCGGAACCCATTTACTCTCCTGGGTGGTGTATTAGGGAAATAGGGGTAAAGTGGCTAGCTCAAGGACACAATATATATTCAGCAGCTGGATCTTGAGTATAAAAGAAAAATCATCAGAAAACTTAGTATTCCTGATGATCATAGGTGGGGGCTGGCTGCCGTCATCCGATGGAAACATCTATTCATTTGTACACCAGTTTTCATGGGTTGCTATGTGTTATTATATAACAGACATACAGATCCTTGTCATTTGATTGGTGGAACTCACATCACGTGACATTCCTTATTACTCACATTCACGCCGGGTCTCAAAAAGTCTGCCCATGGGGAATGGGAAATACTATTGAACAGTTAGGATCATTCTTGTTCCAAGACGCGGAATTTGTGTGCAAAGGCATGCTGGTGTGCGCGTTCAGCGTTGCGCGTAGCTCGTATGTTCCAAAGAGCCAGCGCCACAGAGTGGGGTTCAAACATTTTCGTGAACGGGTGGCATGGAAGAGAGAAATACATTTCCCATCAATTTTGTAGTGAAATAAAAGTTCAAATATATCAAATGACAAGGATCTATATGTCAGTTATATAAAACAAATATTGAGTGGCTTTAAATTGTGAAATGGGAGGAATATTATCGCTCGGTAAAATCTGGACTTTTCCAGTTCACTCGGCTTCGCCTCGTGAAATGGAAAAGCCAAGATTTTACCTTGCGATAATATTCTTCCCGTTTCACTCTGAGCCACTCAATATTTGTATACCATTCAGCACTCCAGACTCAAAAACCATTGAGTTTCAAGAACATAGGTCTGGGAGCTAGAAAAGCCAATGTAAACATTTCTTGGATGTCCACATCCACCTGTACAACATGAGGGTGGTTCTATCCAAAGAGGGATGTCTTGTAGCTATACTGATACTGGTCGACTGAGATTGAAACAATGATGTACATGCAGTGTTCTCCAACCTGTAAATATAACCTGGTGCCCTGCCAAGCTTTATGAGGCTCCCGCCAAGCTTCAAAAGCTGCTGCCAACCTTAAAAAGTTGCCTGCCATGCTTTAAAAAAAAGAAAAAAAATAATAAAAAAGAAAAACAAAGTTAGTGGGACTACCCTTACCCTCCAGGGTACATTTTGGCCAGAAACTCTGCCAAAAGCAGTAACATGGAACATTTGTCAAACTGACAAGCCTGCCCATTGTAGCAATCCATCAGGTCAAAAGTCTCAAGGCCAAACTGCCTCAGAGTCCCTGGTCACTGATGTGTTAAAAAAGATGATGCTGATCAGATGATGCTGAGCCGTTATTGTACTTAATTGTTACTGTGTTAGAAATGACCTAAAAGCAGCAGCACGTTTTGGCGGCCCTTGAACTGGAACATGTTTCTGACGTCACAGCCGTGAACTGAAACATGTTTCCTGTGCACCGCGAAAACGACTGACCGGAAAATTGTTCATGACGTCATGTTACTGCCTAGGTGACTGCACACAACCCCAAAAAAAATCACGCGGCGACCGGACATGATTAACAATAACATTCAAAGCAAAAGTGGGAGTTTTTTTTATAGCGTTTCCCTAAACTTCTAAAAAGAGTGGGCCTGATATTCTGTATCAACTTTCGTACCAATTGAAGGTAAAAACCCACTATTTAAACCCCATTTATGGTAAAAAGTAACGTCGTCTGCTAAGCTTGTTTACCTTTCCGCCATCTTGAAACATAAGTGAACCGACCGGAAAATTCGGTTCAACTTTGGTCGAAACAATGACGTCATTTCAGTGTAACCGAAGCGCCAAAACGGCCGCGAACCAGAAACATGTTTACGGTCACAGCGCCAAAACGTGCCCCTGTTATCCGTACATAATGTACATGTTCATCTGCAAATAGCGCCCCCTAGCATAAAGAAATGTATGACTGCAAATTGCAGTCATACAGTACAGTCATCCTCTGACATAATTATAGCACCCCCTCCACTTATTAACGGTGCACCGACCTTTAACTTTCAAAGTTGGAGAACAATTTACATGTGTTGTTATCTCAAACCTTCTTCCTAAGCACCATGCAGTTTATTTGATCGTTCTCTTATTCCACGCACCATTGATTAGGAACGGCGGGTGCAGTGGAGCACGGCAGTCAGTATCAGATGAAGATGGTGTATGAGCACAACCTGCAGAGGACAGCATTCAACCTGGTAGTCGGTCCCTTCGGCAGCGTGAAAGGTAAGGGGGATCCCTTGCTTCTCTCTTAACTCTCTTAAAGCTATAGTCCATCATTTGCAGCCATCCAAAAAGTAACTGGCGTAATTATTGTTGAAAAACAAACTTGGTTGAAAGATAGTAAGGGAACTAAACTCCCTGTGAAATTATTCCTTCTGGGAAGCTGTCATTTTGAAGTAATCAACGAAAGAAGGCATTTCCAACGGTGATTCTTAAGAAGCACCGTAGGAAAATTTAAATTAGTAGTTCGTTTTGTTATTCAGCGCAGCGCGCACAAGTATTGGAACGACGCACACGCGCGTGCGGTTGTTATAATTCGTCGGATCAGTGCGCTACGTCGCGTATAGCTGCAATTCAAAACAATTCAAAACATGATTCAGTAACTTTTGATTTGAAATTGAGATCTAAGAATGCTGTTTTTCTCGGAATGTACAGCTGAAGCTTAGCTGAAACTTCATCAGGTTAGTTGTTCAGTATCCTTCATTAGATTTTGAACCCTTTTGTTGCTTCAAACGAACAAAATGCACAAATTACAAATGATGGACTATAGCTTTAATTTGTTGAGTCACCATACATAACACCACCTAGTGTTTGCCTCAAAGAGGTACACACATGTGTAATTTGTGAATTCTGATCAATTCCCTGCATATCTTATCCTGCAGTTAATCTTCCTTTCTACACAATAGGTACACATTTTTTGTTATTAAAAGGTAACACATTTTTTTGTCAGGACCATGACGAGGACCTTTGAAGCTCTAAAGTTCTTTAGCCCTCCTGCTGTCTGAACAGTCACAGATAGTCAAAAAGTCAACCCTTCTCCCCTGCCATGTGCTACGGCAGGAAAAATGGGTTCCCATGCACCCCCCCCCCCCCTAAAACCCCCCCCCCAAAAATACCAGACGATTTTTGGCATTTGTAGGACATCTGATTAAAGAAATTTGATGTTGCCTGCGAAAAAAAGTCCCACGATGTCCAAATTGCATATTTCCAAGATGTCTGCCGTGTGCATAATCAAAGCACTAAATGTCATTTGTCAGTAACTAATGAGCCGATTTTGATGATCTTGGTGTCAAAATTATGGATTTATGGGGTGCTGAATCGATTTTCAAGGGTTTGTTTGTAATATAATCATTATTTAGACCTTTGTAATACCAGGAAAGTAATTTGCACTGTTTGAAATTGTGCTGATAAAATATCTTGAATCGTGAATCTTAATTTTTTTTTTACAGTATAGCTTGCCAATTCTTTGCAAGTGAGGTTGCTTCTGACCCTTAATGCTCACATTTTTGCTTCCGGAATTTTCTTTTTTCCATCATAGGTAAAGATTTCCTGTGTGTGCAATCCATGGACGGCACAGTCTCCTTCTTTGAGCAAGAGAGCTTCTCCTTCAGTCGTTTCTTGCCAGGTTTCCTCCTGCCGGGGCCCCTCAGGTACATCCCCCGCACCGACTCCTTCGTCACCGTCTCCTCCAGCTGGCAGGTGGAGAGTTACAAGTACCAGGTTCTCGCCGTGGCAACGGACGTGAAAACAAAAGAGGAGTCACAGAAGATTACCTCGGGGAAGCGAATAACGGTATGTTTGGAGGAAGTTTAACTCGGAATTGCCCTTAGGGGAATAAACATAAACCGTTGAGCTGATATTTCAGCTCATCGTAACTAGTGCTCGCCCTATGCAAAGGGTTTAGATCTTGTTTGCCCTTAACTATTCGTAAAGACAGTTTACCCATTCCTATTGATCGAGAGCCTGTCGCGTGGGTGTTACCAAATTCAGCCATTTGATTTCAGTAGATTACTTTGAATCTACTGTGCATTTGAATCTACTGTGCATAATCTGTGCATTCATTGATTAAATGTTTAGGTCATTTAAACTCAAAAATAGTAATTTTTTTCTCTCAATATGCAGATGGACTGGTCTTACAGTCTTGGGGAAGCTGCTCTGGACATAGTTGTGACTGTCTCAGCTCAAGGGGCAACATCTATCGTGATACTCGGTACATGTCTTGAACTGCTTACCCCTTCAAGTACCATATTTGGGAGGATGTTGGAAATTCACTATCTATGGAATATCCGCTTGCACACAAGCGTCTACAATATGCGCGTAGACTCGGCGATTAATTATGCAAGACAAGACTGTGTCCTGACCTAAAGATTCTGACCATTCAGCAGGAGCCTTCTGTATTGGGTCTTCCGTAACCTGTTGTTGCATTACAAGCATATGGCAGCCAAATTGACCAATCAACAGCTTAGTCCATATTTCTGATCGAAATGATGTCACAGTTTCTAAAGTCGACACCCATTGGCTGGCGCGCGGGGTCGCATAAAATTTGCATGCTAGGATATATCAGAGCAAAGGTCCGACATGCCTGCACGCGTATACGATGCGCGTCGCTGAAGGTGCATTGGGAAGGTGTACATGTTGTTGCCCTCCTGTGAAGTGGGTTTGGTTTAATGGATAAATCTGTTGACCTGTGTTTGCAAACTAAAATATTTCTTATTGCTCAAGGTATTTCAGAAAGGTAAATCCTGACATTTGGTTCTTAATGTAGACAGTGGCGCATCCAAGGGGGGGGGGGGGCTTGAGCCCCCACAAAAGGTTGTAAATTTTTTTTGTATTTTTTTAATATTTTTTTTTTTTTTAGTCCCACGATTTGGCCTTGGTGATATGTATTGGCCTGCTTTCGAGTAGTATAATAGAGGTGTAAGTGGCGCCACCAACGTCAAAATAGGCCGCCCCTAAAAAAAAAAACCAATTTTTTTTTCTGCGGCCAACAATTTTGGGCAAAATTTTGTGAAAAAATTCAACTTTTAACAAATTTGTAAAAAAAAAAATTTGAGCCCCCCCCAAACCAAATCCTGGGTGCGCCACTGAATGTAGAAATAGAAACCTTATACAAAAGGGACACTTTGCTTATGGAAGTGACAAACTTTTTAAAGATTGCTTAAGGTGTTTTCTGTTTCTTTGTTTCGAAAGGCGAAAGGTCGATTGTCTGCCTGAAGGACACTGGAGCACTCAAATTCATGAAGAAGCTGGAATACAACCCCAGTTGCTTTTTCCCACATGGAACATGTAAGTAGCTATCATGCCCGGAGGAGTGCCTCTGTAATCTTGCGTCCTTGTGTAGTGTGAACTAAGATGCTCGGGGATGTTGTAGGATAGGATAAGATACAGTTTAGCCAAAGTTACTTAAAGAGAATATACAACATTTGCAAACATCTAAAAATAAAACTACCAAGTTTTTGCGAAATACCTTAATAGGATGTTGGTAAATGACAGTCTAAAGCATCCTGTAAAATTATGGCACCTGGTGTGAAGTCATTTTCAAGAAAATTGTATTTTTGTAAAAATTTCCAGCGGTGGTCGGCCGACCATCGTTGGAAAACCTAACTATTTTTCAACTAATGCTCCAAATTTACCATTAATTCAGTCCAAATTTTGTTTGCTATTGGTTACATGTTCATGAACGGGTGCAGGCCAGCTAGACTAGTACCCTTACCTTACAATTTTCCGGCATCTGTAAATTGATCCATTTTATATTTAGTGTAGTCAGGGAACCAGACTACTTGAACAGTTTTGTTTTTCTTGGTTTTTCCAGCATTTTCGAACACAAAACTTCAAACATGTGAGTGTAACAATATTTGATCTATTATACTAACCCCTCAAATATTTCATTTCTGAAAATTACAGCAAAAGCCAATGATGTAAGTTCCCTTTAAGCCACTTTAAAGTGTACACCAAAAACAACGTGCCACATTTCATGGCTCTGCTAACCACGACACTTTGCGCTATACAATTGTTTTTCTGTGCTTACAGCGCTAGCATGAAAAGTCTGTGCTAAACCTGTAAGCACAGAATCCTTAGTTACGGGATGTACGCATGCGCATAAGCCACAATTTCCTGCTAACCTGTGAAATATGCTAACTGTAGGCACGGAATGTTCTTTTATAGTAAAAGCAGGGATTTTTGGCTAACGGCAAGCAGAGCCATAAAATAAGGCCAAGTTTTGGAGCAGTTGCGGACTTTTCGACTAAACTTTCCCAGGGATGAAGGGTTTCTTCTGCTTCTGCTTGTTTTCTGGCTGGGCTCTTCTTTGAGCATAAAAGCCGGGTATTTGCGATTTTGGGCAGTTTGAATCAAAGTTGTCAATATTTAGCGATTTGACAACTGAATCTGGTAGAGTATTCCACTCCTTGATGGTACGAGGGAGTTATGAGTACTTGTACCAGTTGAGACAGTCGAATGGAACTTGGTAGTCGGTGCTGTTTGAGTGATGCAGGCCTTGTGGGGTCACTGGGGCCAGGTACCAGTCGCGGGTTAATGATCAGAAATACTTATTCCATCTTAGGCCCCCCAAAAAAGTCTCTGGTTTCTGGTATGGAGCTTGCCCAAAAAGTGGTGCGGCGACACAGCTTTTTTTTTTTTACCTGATTTTTTTGCTTCAAATGTCGGCTGATGACTGCAAATGGTGCCCGACTAAACTTAGTGCAAATATATGGGAGTCCAGAGAGGCCACATATAGCTTATTCTCGACCATAACCCAATCTAAAAACATGTTAAAATTGTGTAGCAGCAGGATTCCAGTCAAACCAGTGAGTTTGGTGGTTTTGAGACATCATCTTTCATTGAAAAAAAAACTTTTTCATTTTGCTGACGCGCATGGCTATGGCGATGCGCGCGCATACCATTTTTTGGCCTTATCACAACTGCTACTAATTGATTTTTTAACCCTTATAATTCAATAAATTTGTATATTTTTTGTTTTATATTTTATTCCACTAGCCTCTGAGAGCAGCATCACTTATATGGTAGCCACACACACACGCCAGCTCATGATCTACCAAGACACAACTCTTAAATGGGCGGCCAAGTTGGAATACGTGCCGGTGTCGATTCGGGTTGGGCAATTCCAGTAAGTTTCCCGAGGCAAAGTACAAAATTCAGCATATATCAACAAAATTAACTCTTAATTTTTTTGTATCTGTCAATGAACTTTGAAAACCCCATCCCCACATCCCTGATACTGCTAACCCAATGAAACAGCTAATTAGTTCACTGTTTGCCAATCTCAATTATTCTGAGAAGATGTTCGATGCAGTCATGGAAAAAGAGAAATAAAGATACTTTCTAAAAATATTTGCAGTTGAATTAGGTTCTTGCCTGCAGTGTTAGTCTTACTAGAGGATTGGTATAAACTTTAGTCAAATGAGCATTTCTGTCTATTTGCTAGTTGGAGTAACTACAGTTTGACTGACAAAATAAAAATCTTGTAGGCTTCAATTAAATTTTGCAGAAATTGCCACTGGCCATTGGAATATCCACCCCTTGTTTTCCGTTATTTCCATAAATTTTGAGCTCTGTTTTAAGCAAGACTGTGAGGCGTTCTGGCAAAATGAGATAAAAGTGGGCAGAGGTCGAAATGAGGGTTTGCGGGTACATGTATTAGGAAAAAAATAGAATTGTCCTTACAATACTGCTTGTTGCACTTCAATTGGGCATTCTTTTGACCAATTGTGGTTATTGGCATATCAAAAAGGTAAAATACTGAGGAAAATGGCCTTTACAGTTTGGAGATTTGTAGACGTGGAAATTAAAGATGCCAATTGTTTTTCCCCAAAAACACTCTTATTCCATGATTTTAATACTACATGTATTTCCTTAAAATATGTCAACACTCTTATTCCATGATTTTAATACTACATGTATTTCCTTAAAATATGTGTAGTAGACGTATCAAAGATTACATGTATCACTAAATCTGAAAAATTGAAGAAGAAAAAAATCACCCCCTCCCCCCAAATCACCCCCTAAATCAAATCTAAATTTTTCTTAACTACAGCGCGTCCTGTGCCCAATTCCGTCTCATTTTGCCAGAACGCCTCACAATTGTCACATCTGTTCCTTGAATACATCCAAATTTGAATAGTATGTTCTGCTGAAATACCAAGTGTTGTTTCCACCTTCAACTTTTGGTATGGATTTTTTTTATTCAGAGATCTCAAGGGAGTAATAACGAGCATTGATGATCAAGGCCATCTCGTCTGCTCCTACCTTGGCACCGACCCCTCACTGTTTGTTACGCCGTCCACAGACTCTAGGGAAATCAACTACGAGGAACAAGACTTGGAGATGAAGAAACTACAGAGGGCCATCAAAGAATCTGCCTCCAAACAAGGTAGACATTTCGTTATTAAATGCAAGAACAAGCCCTTTAGTGACTTGGAAACTTTTGTATTTATGTTCTGCTGTCAGAGAGCCTAGGACTATAATGAAACAAAGCAGCGGCATATTGACTTGACTGGAACCCATGAGTTTGTTTCTGCATTCAATAGGGGACGTTGAACAATAGAGGACAATAGGGTCCCCAATAAGCCATTTGCGAGTAACCTATACCCTTTGGGATTTACATTTGAAAAATGTCTGGTACAATGACTTGCTCAGAATGCTTGGCACATTTTAACTTTGAATTCTCCAGACCAAAGACACTGTTGCTAATCACAAGATTCGGGGCAAGCTCTTGCATAGTTACGTAAGAGACGCTCAGCACCAATACATCGTTCACAATGGGTGAGAATGGCACAAAGACACCAGACCATACCAGACCATGCCGGAGCTGGGGGTTGCTAGCATAAGGCTTGCCCCGAATCACGTGATATAGTAACAGTCTCTTTGGTCGGGAGAATGCTAGGTTAAAACGTGCAAAGCATTGTATTAAGTCAGCGTTCCAGATTTTATTCAAATTTAACTCGCAAATGGCTTATTCCCAAAGGTCCCCAATTTGACCATCATGTACAAAATATATGGGAGGTCTTCTTAAAAAGTACAAACAAAAGAGTACAAACAAAAGAGGGACAATAGGGGGTCCCCGATTGCAGGTAAATACACAGTTGTATGACCTTGTGGTTATTAGCGTAAGCATAACGCAGAAGTTGAGTTCGTCGGGGTTGACTCGCCAAAGCTGTTGCTGTTTACAAGAAATGCATGCAAATCTCTTTTTCTGCTCGTCTTTTTATATTTTTGGATATAGCATGAGTGCACATCTCGAATTGTGTTTGGTGATACTCGTAAATGGGATTAATTTGGTATCTTTTAGTTATCCTATATTAGTGAAGGGTCAGTCTGCTCATAATTTGTCAATAAATTTATATCTTAGGTCTCAGGTAAGAATCCTGTTCACCTAAGTTTCTTTGTTCAACCTAATATCGATTTGAAGTGAATTTTAATCAGTCTCCTGTTCTCGTTAATTTCATCATAATTTGTCACGTTAGACATGACACCATCCTCACTCAATTCTAGTATGTCAGATCTGAGTGCATCCTTTCCGTTGCATTTGAAAAAAAAATAGTAACCAAAAAGACTTTAAATCTCATTTTGTGGGATTTATCATGCGTACACAAAGTCTGATACAGTTGCAAGACGTACAAGACAGGCATGGAAAACTGATAACATGCTGTTCTATTTGTTTGTTTGTTGTCAAATGACAGATTTTGCACCCAAAAAGACGGTTGACGAAGACTTTCAGATTGAAGTCACCGTGCCGCCCAATCTAGACAGCACATCGGTAAGTCTCATCAGTGTGCCATTTATAGGCATTTTTATCCATTCTCTTTCACTGTACACCCAGCTGCATTAGCACTGCACACAATTATTTGCCATTTCAGTGCACCAAATGATGTTATTCATCATAAACTTGACAGTAGAAATTTTAAAAAGTTTCGTGTTAGGTTATGTAAACTACATTGAATGCAAATTGACCTGTCGCTGTAGAATCGCGTCAACGCAGCTTGTGGAATATTATCCAATTACATGATATGCAAATGGACGCGGAACACGCAAAATCTGAGACTAGCGGATGCGGAACCCACGAAATCTGAGACAAACAAAACTTAGTGGACACAAATTTCATAGGGTTGTCTGAGGGATTTGTCTAAGGGGCATGGCTAACTCGCAAACAGCGATAGGTCAATTGTGTTTTACTTTAGCCTGATTTTATTCCTTTTACTTCAATGGCTCTTCTCAATGTTTTTATTGTTGGTGTTGCATTTTGTTAGTAAATTCCTTTCTTTTTTCATGTGCCTGCAACAAAAGGTGTACAAGTATTTTACAGAGGGAGCGAGGGTAAGGCATGGCACAGCATGTTCACCAGTGGAAGATATGTCCACTTTGCACGGTTTGATGTGGTTGTACATTCATGATATCATACTGGAAATGAAATATAACTAGAATCAGTCGGTGCTTTATCTGCCACAACAAACACACTATTTGGGGGATTCACAGCACAGTGTTTTTAACCAGTTAGCGTCGGAGGACGTGATAACACACACTGGCTGTTTCTATGCATAGGCACAGCTTACGGGTTAAGACGTCAAGATTGCCTCGACTCGCCTTCGGGTGACGTCTTAACACGCTAATCCCTCATGTCTTTTGTACACACACACACAAAGTCTGTGAAGTCTGTGGAGGCGGACCGTGTGTTGGTCTTGAATTTGCTGTTGTGCACGGCCTATTGTTGTACAATATACGCTCCAGTGCACACCCCGGAGTATTGACACATATGAGGTGTTGGCAAGAAATATTGTTCAAATACTGTTGAAATTACTCTTGCAAATCAGTATTCGTGGCGTTTGGCTGTATATCAGAAGTTGGCTGCAAAATTTTGCCTTTTGCGAAAATCAAAATTTTCGGCAAAAATAGTCCGGGTGTGAAGTGGTTAAAAAGAGTTTGCCTCAAAAAGGCAACTTCTTGCAACCGTTGTCCTGCAGTTTATCAGCTGTCATTCATTGTTGTCATTGCGCTGACAACACATATATGTGTTTGAAAATCTCATAGAGAAATGGTTATTCACAGAAAAAAATTCAAGTTGCATGTAAATCATGGGCATCCAAAGATTACTGAATCCGTGTCACCTAGTGCAAGGTGAATGACATTGGGCTAAATGAAATATGTTGACAGTAATGCCAATGAAGACAGTGGATAGAAATGCATGGCAACTTCCCTGCATTGTGAATTGCTCAAACTCACCAATCATGGATTTCACATTATTCACAACATTATTCAGCAAACTGACGCATTTCACTGACAGTTCATCACATAAACAAGCCTTGCTGTTTGAATATTTTATAGTAAGAAGGAAAAAAAAAAAATCTGAAAATGTAATATCTTATAAGGAGAGCTCAATATTGTGTGTGCATTGTTAAGTGTTTTTGCCACTTCTGTTGGTGTGCAATGTACATTACACAGCAATTTGGGAATTAACGGAAAACAGTTCCCTATTTGAGCATCCAGGTTTCTGTCATGTAAACCAACTCTCAGTGATGAATCAAATTAGGTTTTGCCCCTCACCGACGTTTAAACACTATATACTCAGTGTGTTACCTCCCAAGTGAAAGTTGGAAAAAAAATCACTCGGGTGGGACTCGAACCCACGACCTCCTGCTTTCTAGTGCAGATGTCTTACCACTCGACCACCGAGCTAACGGGATCGGTTGGCTGGTTCGAATCTGATGTACATAGCAGCAGGTACCGCATAAACTATTTAAATGTCGGTGAAGGGCAAAACCTAATTTGATTTATATCACCCGATGCAAAAATTCCATCTTATAATCTCAGTGATGAGCAATTAACTGAAATAAACATGCTCACAAGAAGAGGAGGGGTACATGATGCACTTCATGTGTGTGCTTTCTTAACACCCACGCTGCTACTATTCCATAGTTAGATGTAATGACAGAAGCAGTGCCAGTTTCTGTTCAGTTTTTGAAATCTCCACCAACCATCAACTCCCCCTCAGCATCAACCACATCACCACGTTAACAAAACAATCACTGCACTGGTACCGAAAACGCTGGCCAGTCATGCATGCTGTCCTGCCACCATTTTAGAAGCCCTCTGCAACGATCATGCTTTATGTAACTCGAGTCTTCGCATTCGGGGAAGGAAGAAATTGAAAGTAAATTTTACCACCGCACTGGAATCTTTGAAGGAATCAATCAAGAGAAGATAAGTTTGCGGTAGCACCATGTGAATAAATCTCTTTTGTGAGTATGTGTGGTTCTGAAAAGAAACGGAGGGACCACACATACTCACAAAAGAGATTTATTCACATGGTGCTACCGCAAACTTATCTTGTCTTAGTATCTTTCCACCATGCAAACCTTCAAATCTCAATCAAGAGAAGACAAGGAGATATCAGTTTTTGTATGGGAGGCAAACCCAAGAAAGTTGGTTCTAGGAAATTTACCCAGATGCGGTCAATAGGACTGGCAAGGTCAATCCACTTGCTGAACAAGTTTTGGATTCGAACCGAGTTGCCGCAACTGAATGCCACAAGTACTTATGGAACCCCACAACAATGCTCAGCAGAAGTCTACTGTACATTTCTAAGGGCATGTACCTGTGTGTAGCAATATCTTCACTGTTCATTATAATATCAAAGTATGTGCACATGAACCATTGCAATTCTGGCGATTCACAATGCAGTGCGCCACCAAGAGCTTGCCGTGGAGAGTCCAGTTTTTAAGTTTACGGTCGACAAAACATGGCCAATTTGAATGAGTGTCAGTAAACATGAGCTAATTTGTTATAGATTTGGGCATAGTGTTCTGCCGCCTTGCAAAAAACACCATATTGATAACAAAAAAGAAATGGGCAAACAGGTACTGAAATCATATGCTTACGAAATTACTGACCGGAAAAATGAACAATTTCAAATGTCCTGCGCTGCGAATTTGTCGACCATCTCCCACAATGCACTGGGAAAAATGAACTCTCCGTGGGCAACTCTTGGTGGCGCCCTGCATTGTGAATCGCCCGAATTCATTGTTTGATTCTCCAATTTATTGTGTTTTACTGTTTTCATTGGTACATACATTTTTATTTCTACCCTAGCCTGTTCAAACTGTAAGTTTTGTTAATATATAATGTGATATCTTGCCTAAGATAATATTCTATCACATCAATTCTTCAACGCATTTTGCCATTCACTTCCTTTGTTTGAATCTTAGAGTGCCACGGAAACTGAAGTTGAGGATGATGACCCGATCCCGTCAATCACTGTCAAGGTGGGTGTGGCTTGCCTAAAGATTTGCATAATATTGGGAAATACGGGACAACCAAACAGTGGGCCACTTGATCCACGTACCTAGTCAGAATGGTGAATTTGCATTACTATAGAGAAAACAGCATTGGTCACCTCTCCGGTTTTCTATGTCTTTATACACTGAAAATAGAGAGAGATGGGAAATTTCTTGTGAAGAAAAGGGTTGCTGACATCAGAACATAGGGCTTGATTCCATGCATGGAGTTTTACAACTTCTAACTTGTTCCTGACCACCCCCCCCCCTTTTTACCAAGGAATTGATGAAGTGTTGGCTACCAACAGTGGATTGTATAACTGAGGTGTTTCAGCACTGGTTTGGTTCTCAGGTTACAGGCTCGAATCCTGCTTTGGTCAAACCAGAAATTGATTAGAAATGAATCTTGTCAGGGTTTCCCTTGTGGTGTATTTGTTACAGAAAAGCTGCCGTGTTTTTATCATGGTGATTGCTTGCATTCATAAATTGAGATTTGCTGTCTCACCAGTGGTTATTTTTCCTCCCGTAGTTGGTTCTGAAGACCAGCGTCAGCTTACCCAACGTGCGTCTGTTGATCCACTGTCCATACCCGATATCTGTCAACCAGAGTACATTCACATTCCCATTCATCGGTGAGTGAAAGATATTAACTCCTTTAGTAACTGTAGCGCCCAACCTGCCAATTACTCCCTTTAGCACCTGAAACAGGGCACTCTATGGTTTTATTGATACTTCAGTGGATAAACACAATGTAGTACAATGAAGTACAGGTGCTAATATGTTAACCCATGTTGTTACTTTTATGATGGGGATTGCACTTAAAAAAATGGGTATTTCTGTTTGTGTATACTTAAACAGAGAATCAAATATTAGACTGTTATAATTACCCCGGATAGACAGGCTTGCATCCTTCTGAAGTCATGTCAACTTTCTTGAGTTCGGAGCAGTATTGAGTAGAACAAATTGCTCTTTAATTTTGAATTCAGGCAAACACTTGTAAATACCAGGGAAAGATACATTACGTGTCTGCGTTGTTTTGTTGCATGCAGTAGAATACACACAACCCGTTGTCAGTTGTGATGTGCACAAATCTGTCGTGTTAATTTGATTTGAATATTAGTTACATGAAAAGAAAGACAAGGTCTGACTTGTTGATAACATATTTTGTGTGTCAGTCTTTATTTGCTAATCCTTTCCTCAACTTTCTTCACAATCATTTGTAGCTGCTGTGTTGGTTAAAGTGAATGTGGAGGATTTTTTTCATTAAAATAACAGCTTCTGTTATTGCTTTGTTGACTCCTCCTCCTCTTCCTCGATATACGATCAAATAAAAATGCAATGTTATGAAATATCTCAATTGAATGACTATTCCCTTATTAAAATCTTGTTGGCACAATAAGTAACATCACCCTCCTCATTGCTCTCGTGACTTTTTGTCTTTTCTAGGAGATTCCTCTGCTCCGACAAGCGTGCTCGTGTCTTTCTTCCTCCGAGGAAACTCCCTCCCAGCCAGTTTGACAGCATCTGCAATGGCGACATACACTACATCAAAAGGTGAGCAAAAAAATATATATAGACCCTGCTCTCTATTTACAGCATACCTGTTGGTTTGTAATGTCACAGACTAGTATGGTAAGTCCAATAAGGCCCAAAAAAAAAAAATACTCGGTCTCTGGTGAGCGCGCGAGTCGATTTTAATCATGCGTGTCAACCTTCTTTTTTTCTTCAAATTAACACGGAAGCTACAACAGCGGCCCCTATTGCCGCACCTCCTCAAATTTTTGTACCAAGGAGCACCAAGGAATGGGGAAATTGCACCAAGGCAAATGATAAAGGGCACCAAGGCATATTATGGAGGACACCAATGTATAATGAGGACACAAAAAAGCAAAATAATACCCACCCCCCCCCCAAAAAAAAACCCACCGCGTCGCCGTATCAATTCCGGAACTTCGGTCTGACCAGAGACCGACTTTTTTTTTTTTTGCCTAACCTAAAAGTGGATGTTTTGTTCCCTTATAGGGAACAGGGCCCTTAACCACACAATCGCATGTTAGTGTGGGTGGGATTTGAAACCTGGTCGCTTGTGTGGAGAGGGAGGAAAGTACCACTGTGCCAACCCCCTTCCCCCTTCCCCCCTTCCCCCTCCCCCCTTCCCCCTTCCCCCTGCCCCTTCCCCCTGCCCCTTCCTTCTTCCCCCTCCCCCTTTATCCTCTTCCACCCCCACCCCCCATCCCTCACCCCCATAATTTGATAAAAAACAATTTGCTAACGTAGGTTTGACACGGATATTTCTCATGACACCATTAGGAGCACCCCGGGTCGTCAGGAGTAAGATTGAACTCCCCTTGAAGCTAGTCGTGAAGCCCTGCCCTCCAGTCAAAACTGCAACGTACAAAATCACCATCGATAGCAACAAGAACGCTGCCAATTTGAATGACGTCTTTCCAGGTAAGCCCTCCTTGCAGAGAAAATGTCTTTATGAAACCGTAACCAAAACGAGGACGCCATTTATTTAGCAAAAGCAGTCTTTTATTCAAAAACCAGCACTAGTGCTCATCAGCTTTCCCTTTAACATTGCCATTTCCGACTAGAGTATATGTTTCTTTGAATGAAGATTTGGTGTTTGTAAAAGGCAAATCCTAAATAATAATAATAGTAATAACAGGCATTTATATAGCACTTTACAATTATTTTTTGCCCTGTTTCAACGAGCAACACTCCTGAAACCTTCTCAACTCCCCAGGGAGCATACACAGCTGGTTTGCAGCCATTTCGCCGCTCTTGGCCGCAATCAACCTCTCACAGTAACCAACTCTGCCCTCACAGGTACCCATCTACTCCTGGGTGGAGAGGAGCAATGAGTGACAAAGCGCCTTGCTCAAGGGCACATGCACCATAACCTCGGGCTGGACTCAAACCCACAATCTGCAGAACCACAAATTCAATGCTGAAGACAACTAGGCCAAAAAAAAAAAAAAATAGTTATGCTTCCGATTACATGGCATGCCAATTTTTTTTGTGTACGATCATATGGAGGTGTCTGCGTGTAGTCAAGGGTAAAAGGTAGAAATTGATGGTTTTGGGTTGTTTTTTTTTCTCATTTTTCCAATAAAAAAATTAGGGTAGGGGCTGTCAGAATAGGGTAGGTAGAGAAACCGGAAGCAGGACTATTATTTTTTTTGGCCCTAGGCCACGGCGCTCCACAAGCCTGAAACTGTAGCAGAAAGTCTGAGATTTATTGAATTTACCTCTTTTTTTGGCTGCAGATCTGCTTGGTCCCAGTGCAGGAGGGCCAGGCCAAGCCCTTGGATTTCAGATCATCGGCGGACCTAAGGTCACCATTCTAGCTTCAAAGTCATCCCGTGAGTCAAATAATTTTCCTTGCATTTTTCTGTTTTTTCCCCTCTTGTAATCGTAAGTTTTTTATAAGACGCTTGTCTTGTACTCACACGATGTTTAATAGTGCAACCTTTCTGTGCCCATAGGGTGAGAAGTGGCTTGAACCGAAAAATAAAGAAGTAGCTTCAGAGGCTAGCATTTTCAACTTTGTGTTGTTAAGTAACACAAGAAAAGGTTTTACAACCTTGGCCCAATTTCTTGGCTCTGCTTACTGTCAGCGAAAAAAACCTGCTTACTGCAGCAGGAAATTCTGTTCTTACAGTAAGTGTATTTCAGGGGTTAGCAAGGAATGTTGGCTTCTGTGCATGTGTACATCCCGTAACTAAGGATTCTGTGCTTTAAATATAGGGTAAGCACAGAATTTTTCTGCTAGCGCGGTAAGCACAAAATGGAGATCGTAAGCGCGGAACTCTGTGGTTAGCATAGCCCGACTGCGTCTGGCCGTACAGTACTATCGCAAGCTCTGTAGTACGGCCAGACGCCCGATGCTTCCACAGAGACTGAATTTTGTTGGCCGCCGATGTAGCGATTTTGCTACATCTTTCGATCGCGATTATCTTTTCATCCAGGACACAAATTTCCCCCCGCACGCACGTCCAAAAACACGAGGTCATACGTCACAGACTGTTTATGCATATTCATGAGTTTGCGCGGGCGCGCCTGCATATTGCATACATTACAGCGCGGCCGCCATTTTGAAATCGCATGGGGGATCGCATGGGGGACGATATTTGTGGAATCTGATGACTGAAATTCGTCTTGTGGCCAGATGGATGAAAATATTGAGACCAAACAACGTTTTTTCAAAAAGGTATGAGTTGCTCTACGACTACGAACCTTAACTTTGGAAATTTGTGTCCTGGATGAAAAGATAATCGCGATCGAAAGATGTAGCAAAATCGCTACATCGGCGGCCACAAAATTCAGTCTCTGTGGAAGCATCGGGCGTCTGGCCGTACTACAGAGCTTGCGATAGTACTGTACGGCCAGACGCAGTCGGGCTATGGTTAGCAGAGCCATGAAATTGGGCCCTGATCTTACAGCTTACAGATACAGAACTTTCAAGAACAGCACCGCTATATGCATGCCATTTTGTACAACGTCTGAGTAATTTTTAGAAAGTCCCAACTTGTCATATATGACAAATGCTCTGAGCAAAAGTGGTGTAGTCTGATAAAGCATGGTCCGAGAAAGTGTGCTCACTGAAGACTTAAATACAACTGTATCAAAATTGTAAAGAAAAAAAAATTGAATTGGACCTACCCTGAACATTCCCATGATAAAAGAGTATTATATCTTGTTTCAAGTTTCCTTGTTCAATTTTTTCGTTGACCTACTTTAGAGCGCTATCGTCTCCAGTCTGACGTCTTTGAATCCATGTGGTTGGTGATTAGGTCATTCCTAGACAGGATCCAGTCCTTCCAGCGTCGCGGCGGGGCCAAGGACTTTCAGCTGTCGTACGGCGGGATAGTTCCTCTGACGGAGTACTTTGAACTCATCGATACCCACTTAGAGGTCAGACATCTCATTTTGTTCACAAGATTTAATGCCTCTACTTGGGAAATTTGACGAAATTGGAAACTTCTTCCCAAAACCTTTCTGTTAAATGTTTACTGTTCACCTGTGCCAGGCACTGTGCAATGATAAAAGCTTTGCCTTTATTTGATGTGAAGAACATTGAAGGGCCCATGCAATGTAATTTTTTTAATGAAATCCCGTGTGCCGTGGTACACGGGTTCGAATCCTGACGGGGAACATGGTCCTTGTGCTCTTGAGCAAGGCACTTTACCATTATTGCTTCGTCCTTCGGATGGGACGTAAAGCCGCAGGTCCCGTGTGTTGTGTAATGCATGTTAAAGAACCCAGTAACACTTATCGCTAAGAAAAGGGGTTCACCTCGGTGTTTCTGCCTTTTGGCAGTGGCTGCAATATGCGCCGCAGCACCTTGTATACCCTTTATAAAAGGTGCTACATAATTGGTCTCATATTTCTCATAAACTTCATTTACCTGTCTTTACAAAAATAGACATAAGTACCAGTGCCTTGAGTACCCAATTGTTGGTAGATACGTGCGCTATATAAGACTCTGGTATTATTTTTATTATTATCCTTGAAAATCCACCTTTAATGCAATCCTTGTAAAAATCCTGTTTATCCCTATTTTCAATTTTCATTTTGCCATTTTCAAGACTATTTTGGTGCCTTTTTGGTTTTTATGTTAATGCAATTTTCCATATTCATGTGCCAAAGTATGACGTCATTTCAGGCAGAAACCTCAAAAGCTACAGCTATTTCAGCACCAAAAAGTTGCCAGAATTTGGGATATTTCGCTGTTGTAAATTGAACTAATACCATTGTCTTGTCTTGATTCAGCTGAGGATAAACGCCGAGCGATACAAAGAGCTGCTGGACCAGCGAGCTCGTCAGTTCCGGGCCATCCAGCGTCGCTTACTGACCAGGTTTAAGGACAAGACCCCGTCACCTCTGGCAAACCTAGACACTCTGCTGGACGGCACCTACAGACAGGCAAGAACCCTTAAAGAAAATATTGGAATTGTGAAGGATTGGCTGTATTGACTTCCAACCAAGGAGTCGCCCTACAATGCTCTAAATTGAGACTGAGACTGTTGCGGATTTATTCGGGAAAAAGTGCATGTTTGTCTTGTGCGATACTTCACTGTCTTGAATTTTTCTCATGTGATAATTTACTTATTTTGACATTCAACTAAAAGGGATCTTTGATTTGTGTGCCTTTTACCTGGGCATTGTTTATTATTTTCTCCGGTAACTTTGAGTATGATTCTAATTTTGTGTGTATGTCTTGTACAACACTTTGAATGTACATTAACCCTTGAGCACCTGTACTACATTGTATTACATTGTGTTTATTCACTGAAGAATGAATAAAACCATAGAGTGCTTCAGCAGTTTTGGGCGCTACAGTGAGTAATAGGCAGGGCAGTTTCGGGTCCTACAGTGTCTAAAAATGTTTCAACTTGCAGTTTGGATTCAGTCTTCCGGTCTTCAGCTTAGTCACATGTTAAAGTGTTGTGTTTGTTATTGGCAGGTTTGTGCATGTTGAGTTGTGCCAATATGAACTTGAAACACTTCACTGACCGAACAAAGTGTTTGGACAATAAGTGTTTTATGAGTTTTAAAGGCCTTAACTTTGTGCGAATGAAAGTTTCCATTGTCGTTACGATCACATAAAAGAAAATTGCAGGATGCAGATTCGGTTACCACGTCATCATAGACGTGTGTGCATTTATCCAATAGAAAAAACACTTGTCAAATCTTGTTATGCAAAAGCACAGTTGGAATACCGATTGGGCTTATTGGTAAAATGTGTGCCTGGCATTTTTCTTGTATCAGATCCTGAAGTTAGCGGACGGCGTGGAGGAGAACCACAAGGCCTTGGTGCGTTGCTCACTGGGCCTGAGCTGTGCCACCCACATGATAGTCACCATCATCAAATTAGCCAATAACATGACCGATAAAGAGTCGGAGATTCTCCATTCAAGTCTTATGCCACACGTGCCTTGTGATGGCGAACAGGTAACTCAATCAAAGTTAAATTTGTTTAATAAGATGGTGGTGACTTGGCTCAGATTAGTGTTGGGAAAAAAATCCAGGTTTTGTAAAAATTCGGTTTGAATTCCACTATTCGAATTGGATTTTACTGAGAAACCGGATATTCGAAACCAACCTTTAAAAATTTAAGCCTTCCAGTCTTTGTGACACAAGCTAAAGAAAACAACTAGAACATCCCCCAATGGACCTTATTCACGAGTCGGCCATATTGGATTGAGATTGAGATAAAATCTTCATTTTTGGAACTTGTGTAGAAAAATGAAAGCAATGACGTTACAAATTAATACCAGTCTGCTCTGATGAATAATTTAGAATTTGTGATTAAACAAACTCCAATGTTTTAAGCCACATTTAAAAAGAAAATGAAAGTGAGGCAATAGTGAATAAATAGTCTGGCACTATTTCATTCAGCAGTTCACAATTTGTGAAATACATTCAGGGAACACGACAAAAATGGCCACTTTGTGCAAAAGGCCCATTTGCTCCATATAGTCTCTGATTGTAACTGCATTCACTGGCTAGCTCTTCTCGGTTCATGAATAGCCTGCCCATTCAACTGATTAGAGAGTTCCCACCCATTTTTTCAACATGGAGGGCATTGCATGCGGCACCTCACTTGTCACTTTTTGTTAGCGTGACTATGAACTGAATGGGAGCTTCTAGTAAAATCAGATAACCGTTATTGTGTATGAAAAAATTAGAATAACCGGATTTTGAAAAATCTTATTTCTCCCACCAGTAGCTGAGAGCTTAGTGTACTTTAGATTAGAAAACAACTGTGGCCATCGTCCTCACACAGTAGTTTTGGAGAAAAAATTTCTCACCTACTCATTTAAGGCCAAAAAAAAAAGTCTCCGGTTTCTGGTATGCGCGCGCGTCGCCGTAGCCATGCGCGTCGGCAAAATGAAAAAGTTTTTTTTTCAATACAAGATGATGTCTCAAAACCGCCAAACTCACTAGTTCGACTGGAATTCTGCTGCTGCACAATTTTAACGTGTTTTTAGATGGGGTTATGATCGAGAATAAGCTTTATGTGGCCTCTTTGGACTCCCATATATTTGCACTAAGTTTAGTCGGGCACCATTTGCAGTCATCAGCCGACATTTGAAGCCAAAAAAAAAAAAAAAAACAGGTAAAAAAAAAAAAAAAAGCCGCGTCGCCGCACCACTTTTGGGGCAAGCTCCATACCAGAAACCGGAGACTTTTTTTTTTGGCCTAAGGGAAATCTTTTTTTTTTGTGGCGTTTTTTTGAAAACCTGTATAACTGCGTCACACTAACTGAAGCTAAGATTAATTAATTTTAGAGAGAAAGATTTCATGTCAGTGTTTTGTAAATCTCAATGTAAAAACCAAGAATTGTGAAAATTTGATTTATGTGCTCAAAAAAGCAAAACCAGTTCGGAAGCAGGTACAGGCAATGGATGTATTACATTTTTGCTGATGAAAAAGGTTCCCATTCTCAGCAAACATTATTGTGTCATTACTACTTGAGATTGTCCCCATGTAACAGAAAATCAAGGAGAAACACTTGCTGTCTTCCCATTCAGCACCCCTTTAGGATTTTCATCTGAACTTGTACCTGCATATTTCAGATATGTGAAAGAGGACTAAACTGCCATTATACAAATAATGAATGTTTATGAGTGAAATGGTAGGAACAAATACACGAGAATGTGAAACATTCATTGTTTGCTTTATACAACACCTGAAGAAATCCTTGTCATCTGATTGGTCAGAGCCACCAATTTTGTGACCGTGCAATGGAACTTCTATTTACCGTGGAATAGAACTATTATTTTTGCGGTGAAGCCGGGCCATGGGTTGGGACAAATAATTCAATGACATGTGATCAACGACCCACCAAGTTAGGCGTTGTATAATATATCCTTACTCTCTAAGCTTTTTTGTGATGAACCTCCCTGTATATTCCCAAAAATGCTCCACTGGGCAAGAATCAGCGAAATGTAATGACTACTTTGTGTCATTTATAGTAAGCTTTACTTGGGCTTGCAACTCGTCGCACCGTCACTCTTATCATCCCTGACAACAGAAATTAATTGAAAATGCTGAAACTGAACCCAGTCTCGGTTTGTAATACTAAATAGGATGGCACTAAAATGGCACAAATTGACTGGAGCAAATATGTTATGTATTTCTACTTTGTTAACCTACTGACTCGACTTGACTTGAGTCACTGCTTTTAGAATGACTCGACTTGAGTAACAATACTCAGTAACTCTTGACAACACTGGTTTTTCCTCCTCACAGGGTTGGGAGGAGGCAGTGGATGCCAGCATCAGCAACCTCCTGCGGACCTGCCTGGCTAAGAAGGCCCTGGACCAAGCCGTTAACCCGACCCCCTTGATTATGCCGTCTGATTCAACCAGACTCAAGAAGCACATCTCACAGCTGTGTGAGCGGCTCAGTAAGGGAGCCAGACTCTACATGGACGGACAGGCACCAGGTCAGGCAAACAAAATCAAAATTTCAGCGAGAAATTTCTAAGCTTCGTTTTCATCTCCAGATTGGGCTTTGGTTTCTGGAGAGTTCAGTCCCATTACTTGGGGGACTCGGCCAAAATTTAGGTCCTTTTTAAGCTCGCTGATCAATTTAAGTGCTCTAAAGATAGCCCATTTTAAAATAACAACACCAGATTGACAAACATTTCCTGAAATGTCTTTATAAAAAATATAAGCATTTAAAAACTTTAAATTTATGGAAGAGAAGTTGTCAGTATTTTTTTCTAAAAAATCTTCGTCCTGTCCCTATTATGTACTCCATATACCAAAGTAAACCAAAAGGTTTTTTTTTCTTCCACTTCTTCTGAAGCAGAAAAAAGGAGTGGGAAGAGTGAAGGAGTTGTTCGTCCATCATCATCAACCTCAAGAGATTTCAGTGTTGAATCAACTACACCAGACAAGTCCAAAAGGTGAACATTCTCAAACATTGTTTACCTCTCTGTTAACCAGTTCGCGCCGGATGATGTGTATACACGCAAAAAGGTGTTGCGGTATTCGGAACGGATGACGGATAAACATGCAGGGAGCGAGGCCAGAAATATCTGTCACAGACCCGCTCGCAGCGAGCTAGGCCGGAACTATGTCTGTGCTGCCCGAGGGTGATGGCTTCAGCCTGCCTGGCATTGAGGTCGAGTGAAAAGTAATCCCGCGCCTCGTTCCATTCTTGTCAAACTTTTCCCAGCGTGAACTGGTTATGCAGCTGATTAAGAAGATGGCCTGTAAATAGAGGAAGGAATGTTGCCGTTTTCAACTTTTCTTAGTATGGAGGAATTGAAACATGTAATATTAGTGCACAGACGACACAAGCTACATCACAAATCAACCACCAGCTGCTCTAGTTGATGTGTTATTGTACTTTCTTATGCTCTCTTCACAATAACCCACAAGCCTTATTCCTTCCCATTCAGACTGGATTTCCGCAAGAGCAGCCAGCTCTCAGGCCTGGGTGACGCGGAACCCAACCCCAGCCCCGCCCCTCTCAGTAACTCCCAGCCACCCGTCAGCTTTCCTCCCGGGATAGAAGACCTCCCCAGCCCGGGGGCCGAGACAAATGGCACCCTGAGCAAGGAGGAGGTGCCATCATCGCCAGCCGGTGGGACGATGCTGGGTGATCTGCCCTCTCTGGGTGGTCCAGGGGTGAGGGGGACATCGTTACCTCCACTGGGTGCACCTGGTAAGCTGTGTTTTAAATTTGTCACTATAACCTACATGAAATGACTTTGTTTCATTATTTTCTTTAAAATGACAGTGTGCAAGAAGGGAAAAGTAAGCTTTTTGAGTGGTCAGGCACAACCCGACCACTCTTTAGAGTTGTTAGGATTAATTTTTCTTTCTTTCTTCTTCTTTTTTTCCGGACAATACTTCTCCGCGGGTTTTCTCCTAGATGGTTTATGATATGAACTTGTAACATTCAATATTTATTGACCCTCATCCCAAGTGGTGAATATTACTCTGACATCATGATGACGTCATCGGGTGTCAAATTACAAGCGATTTTAGAGGAAAAAGTAGCCAAATATTTTCACCTATAACTCTTAGACAAAGTGATCAATTATATTCCAACTTTGTAATCAGATAGACCATTAGTTGATAAACATTTTTGTCATGTATGTGAACTCGCTTGACCTTTACTTCCGGGTCTACCGGAAGGTCAAAGTTATGTAAATTCAAAATGAAGACTTTAGCCTGAAATCAAAACAAAGCAACATTTCTTCCAAACGGTTTACGCTGTGATCATAAAACCTAGTGTGAACTTGTACCATGTTACAAAGATGCTATAATCTTTGTAACGTCATCATGACGTTATCAGGTATCAAATTACAAGCGATTTAAGGGCAAATTTTGACAAAATAGTTTGCGCAGTATGTTTTCAACTAAACCTCTTTCAACTTCCAACTTTCACTCGGGAGGTAACACACTGAGTATACAGTGTTTATACGTCGGTGAAGGGCAAAACCTAATTTGATTTACATCACCCCGACGCAAAGTTCCATCTTATGAATAGTAAAATATAAACACTTTTTTCTGTTAAATAATTTCCTCAGACGGACTAGAATCCCCAGCAGCGTTGCCGCAGCTGAAACCAATCAAGAAAAAGAAGAAAAAGAAGACCAAGAGCCCAAGGAACCCGGAACCGGAACTGGAACCAGACGATAACTTCTTTGGAGGAACCGGTTCCCCGGAGCCCTTGTCAGTGATGTGAGCATATCAGTAGTACAACTGGTTCCTTTGACGTATCACAGAAACTTCAGGTTCAGAATAAAATTTGTACACATCTTTGCACAGTTCATGTACTTTGATCTTAAATCTTGATGTATTTTGATCTAAAATGCACAGTTAAGTGAGTAGCATAGTTTTTTGTAGCATATTTTGAAATGATTCAATTTGAAGCTGCAAACCTACAGTTGTTACTTTGGGTGCTGCGTTTAATCTTTGAGAGTTTCCAGTGAAGAACATTGAGCAATTTTCGTTCAAATATCTGAGTGGTAGAACTGTTGGCACGATACATTTTTCACGTAGCTACTAGCCTTGGTCAAGGCATTTGTCATTATTCGTACGAGGTAAACGATCGGCGGGATATCTTCGCTATGCATGCAGTACATTAAAAATACAGTGCGAACAGTGACCTCATGTCATCATGCAGCCACTATTTTATGCAACTCATTTGGATCCAGACGAACGCCTTGCTCCAATCATCCATGTGAGGGTTTGGGGGTGGTGCTCATTATGCTAATAGCCTAAGCTGACCTTAAAAAATGTTTTCTTATTGGTCGATCGTTGCATGGAAACTTGCATATAGTTAGCGAGCGGTACTGGCGACTATACATGTACTGTACATAATACATACACCCACGTTGTGTTTCGATGTCTCACATTACACACAGCACCAATGCACAAAAAAATGTGGTTTCTGACACGTCCGCAGAGGGCAAATAGCTGCAAATGATTTTGATAAAGTCGAGATTTACCAAGGTGTGATTGGACACTCCACATATTAGCCCCGCCTACACTTCCCTGTATTCGCATATGAGGTCGTGCGCTGGAAATCTAGCACAAAATAAAGAAAAACATAAGCTTTCGCAGATGATTGGACCAAGGCGTTCAATAGGATCCAAATGATTTGCATAAAATAGTGGCCGCATGAGGTCGCTGTTCGCGCTGTAGTTTTAATGCACTGTATAGCCAGGGTATGCCGCCGATCGTTTACCGCGTACGGACGAATACTGACGAACGCCTTGACCAAGGCAAGGTACATACTCACAAGTGACTCATACTGCAGTTTTGGCAGTGTTTTTGTGTTGTATCCCCATCAAACTCTTTCACAAAAGTAGAGGATTTGGTGCATGCTGAGACTATTTTTGTGGATGCACAGGGTTAGGACTAACTGTGTTTGAAAGATGTCCTCAATATGAATAAGGAAGGGTTCTGTCATGCTGAAATGTCTGTGGTTTTATGCATTAATCTATGCATGTGTATAAAGAGCAAAATAACTTCACATTCTTTGATCAAAACCTTGATGTTTGTAATTTGATGAAAATCGTAGAAGATGTATGATAAAGTTGAGATAGATATATTCTGTATAAAGTGGATATTTTTCCTGCTGCTTGTACATAATAGGTGATTTCACAAAGTACTTGAAAAGTGTTTTATGATTCTTTGAAGAAACCGTATTCAGTGAACACAATGTAAAGGTATTCCATTGATAATTGTGATAACTTAGTAAATTCAGTGTCAGTTGTAAAATTTATTCTAGGTTTTACAAAATTTGTTGCATGTTTAGTGTCAGAGTGTGGCAAAATCTTCACATCTGTCCAGGGGGGGGGGGGGGGATTTTATAAGAATTTTTTTAAAAATATGTTACGGTACCCACATCAGATTCCAACCAGCCAGCCGATCCTGGCAAGCTCTGATCGAGTGGTAAGATATCTGCATTAGAAAGCAGGAGGTCGTGGGTTCGAGTCCCACCTGAGTGATTTTTTCTTACTCTCACTTGTGTGTGTGTGGGGGGAAGGGGGGGGGGGGTAACACACTGAGTATACAGTGTTTATACGTCGGTTAGGGGCAAAGTCTAACATTGAAATGATACCAAGTTGTGTAAAATGTACTGTTGCCAAAAGTAATCTTGGAAAATGGGGGTGGGGGGTGGTATCACTTGGACCAAGTTCTAAAATCTTGAGACCAAATTTGTTGGTCTTTATTAGTGTGTGTACAGTAAAACAACATTTCTCGAACACGGTTTGAAAATATGATTGTTGGATTTTAGAAGTGACATTTTTTTCTTCTTTCTTAAAATGGAAGTTTTGTACTTTTCGTCACAAATCCTAAGACTTGCGTAACAGGTAAATGAATTGCAATGGTATTAGCTTGTGTTTACTGTGGTGAGTCAAGTTCTTCAAACATTTTCTAGTTGGCAAAAATGGTTTCTAATGTGAACAAAATGTTTATATAAGCCGCTGCAACCTAACAGAAAGGGACTGAAAGGAACTTAACCTAGTGGGCTTTTGTATTTTTTGTTTCTCTATTTCTGCAGTATCAAACATATAAAGTTGCTGCTTTAAAAGAAGATACCTCTGCCTTGATACATAATTTGTGTGCGTGTTCACCAGAATCTGAGTGTGCAATTGTCTTTTTTTCCGTCCATTCAAAAGAAATTTATTGAAATGTTGGAAAGAGCAAATTTCGTTCCTCTGGCTTTAAAATAAGATATTTTCCTTCACACTTGTGCTGTGTTTTGGAGTGTACTTTGTAAGTGAATAAAGTGTAAAATACAATTAAGCTTGTGAAAAATTGAGGCATTCATTTGCTGGTGGCATATCATAATCTTGCTCTCAACATTTGTTATATTCAGTTCTTAGTGTGGTAAATTTGACATTTTTCTCAGTGCATTCGAATACCTTTTACAGCTCTGTTGAGTATGATCTTCTTTTCCAACCGTATTAGCAAAATAAGAACTATTGATTATTGTTTTCTTATTTTTAAAGGGTGTTGTACCCAAACTACGGACCGGCCATGCTATATTTGGAATGATGCTGTAGTTGCGCCCTAAAATATAGTTGGGGTGTAACAAGGATAATTTTTTTCTTCAGCATTCTTACATTCAGCTCAGTGTTCTGAACATTAAGCACATTCAAAGCTTTTATTTGGCCGAGCACACTGTCTTTGGTAATTTTTGAACAATTGTTGAATGTTTATATTGTGTGCAGTACTTAAGATGTGTGTACATAGTATTTGGATTGTAGACATCACTTTGAAAATAAATGTAAATTCGGAGGACACACTTTGTCTATCTGCTCAGCTGCCAACCCCCCCCCCCCCACCCCCTTAATCCCCCTTTGGCCATGGGTTCACTCTGCAACAGTTGAAAAAAATTTAGCATCCCAGATTGTTCATCTTCATCAATTTAGTTAGCAAGTCCAATCTGAATTTACAACAAGTTACTACTATGAAGAACTACTTTGAATAAAACAGGGGCGGATCTAGGTTTGAGAAAAGAGGGGGGGGGTGAGTGTAGGTGTGTCGATCGCGAAGACATGCCCTGCAGAAATCTACGCTATATACTTCTGCATTCTAAGGCAATTTGAGAATAAATGTAGGAATTTTAGCATTCGATAATTTTTTGTGGCCCTATTTTACTAGTATCATAACATTCGTCAGCTGCTGAAATGTAAAAATCATAGATTTATTCTCTGTGTTATGTTTTTGCCTGTCATTTTTTAATTGTGAAAATTGAGGGCGCTACACGAGGAACACGAGGTAAACAACCGATTGCCAAAAACTTTGCATAGCGATAGAATCGATTCTAGATTGTTTGACGCGTGCAAGTAAATTCGGTACTGGAAATCGCTAGAAATGAATGCTGACCGAAAAAAAATTCGATAAACTCGTCGTCAATCGGGAATACCCAGTATAATCGATTCGTAAGCTATAGTTTGCACGTGTGTTGTACGACCTGTACTTCCCGACGAGTGGAGACGTGATGTGTCTTGCGTGGTAGCTGAAATTGTCTTTATTGTGCCGAAAACTTAGGAACATCTTCCGTCAAGTGGTGTATGGCAACCTCATTGATCATATAAGTCGGTGTGTATTATGAATAATCATGAAATATATTTCCTTTTTAACCTATTCTTGCTAGTAAATGGTTGCCCAATTTCCGGACTAATGTATTCTGTATGTTGTACAGTCGTTTTCTTAGTTACGGATTTTTCCTAGTTCCGGATAGCTTCAAATAAAAACCTAACTCTTTTGGATTAGTCTCCAATAATTTTTTTTTCTGACGATGTGCATTTTGAAAAGAAAAATGTAAGCTCCTTGATACACAAAGATTTTTCCGATAAGAGGAATTTTGGCCAGATTTCTGACTCGCACTTGGACATGTTTGGACGGTTTGTCATGTTTGTAGAAAATCGCGGGAGCTGCGAATCGACGATAAATTTTCTCCTCAGTATATCACTTGTACAGTCATGACAGTGTGATTTAGAATATTTTGTTCATACACTACAGTCGTATAAACTCTTCCATCAAATGCTTGTTGAATCAAAATAAGTTGTAAAGGCTCTAATTTTTGAAAATTCGTCAACGAATGACCGTATGCTTTTGCCTAGTTCCGGATAGCGCGTGCACTTACGACCCAACTACACGCGCGTTAATCGATTTTGTATGACGTATTCTGTGCTGGGCAGGCTCAAAGATTTTTGGTCTGTGCGTGAGTTTGAGCCGTTGCGCTGCAGACAAAAGTTTCAAATTCATTTACGTTTGTTTCTCTTTTTAAAATTTGCTGGAATTCTCTTGAATGAACTTTTTTTGGAAAATGAAATAATACTTTATCACTGATAAAGTATTATTTCATTTTCCAAAATATCAGAAAATATGCTTGATTTGGTTGGTTCTGGCTGAAAAAAAAAGATTTTCTCGCGTGATTTTTTTTTCCGCGTAAAGCAGTTTTGATCGATTCGGAACTGATTGAACCGATCCGGAACTAGGAAAAGTGACATCGGTACTTTTGACGTCGTAAAATAAAAATAAAAAGAGCTCTCCTCCATGTCACTCAAGGTAAACTTTTTAATCAATGTCACTTGAATTCGTGGAGTAGTTGAGCCGAAAGCAGCCTGAATGATGTTTGCTATCCGGAACTAGGAAAACGACTGTACTTTCAAGTTTAATTTGATTTGACACGAAACAAAAACTAGCGCCAATTCATACGCAGCTTGGTCAACATCGTACGCGTACCAACTCGTCATGCTCATACACCATACCTACTAGCAAACATGGCAAACTCGTACCGGCAAGCCCAATAATGTTCCAAGGTTTTAAAAATAAAATATGAAAAAATGTTGCAACCTGACACCACTTCAGAGGTTGTGTACAAAGACTTTAAAGTCTTTATGGATTATGGAGAGTCAAGAAAATGGTGTTATAACTTAAGTATTTCCTAACAGAATTGGAAATGTTTCTCAGTCCCAGATTCATGTCTTTTCATCATTTTTGCAATGACTGAGTGACCTTCATTGAGATGACTTGGCATCAGGTGGCAACATTTTTTCCTAGTTATTTATATATGAATTTTAAGGCAGTGCAGTATTTGACCGCGAACCTGTCCCCAATTGTTTTCGTTGAACTGGCACTGCACTGAAGTTACATGCGCAGTGAGTGTTTTTTGGAACTTGGACTTGTTTTACCATCGCGGATCTTCATCTGGTTCTGTGCTTACATTATCATGATTATCATGTGACTTTGTAGGAGCATGAGAAGAGGGGAAGGACCCATTGCAATATCAGATTTTATTTCCCTTTCAAAAAAATCCTCCAGACCCAAGAAAAGATGAAATATTCTGCAATTAGCCTAGTCCGAGTATTGGTAACTTGGACCCTACAAATAACCCTTTTTAAACATTGGGACATGATCTGGCAATAGTAGGGTCCGAGTCGATTGCTAATGTTGGACATGGCATTTTAAATAACTAACCACCCAACCATTTGCCAACAAAAACATCAGATTGTTTTTTACAAAGTTATGAAAGGAAGATACTTTGACATGATTTTCTGATTTTTATTTTGAAGTGTGCGGCGGACCCATTTCTTGAAAATGACATTATTCTTGGGGCAATGATTTAATTTTCACCGGATGCTTGTTCCTAGTAGTTACATGTACTTACAATCAAGTAGGATATCTCATAATGTTGTGGTATTTCGTTTTTGAATATTTGCAATTGCTGCCATTACCTTAAAAAAAAGAAGTGCATTTTAATTGTTATGGGTAATTTACCCATTATAGCAATCTTTGTTTTTGTTTTTTATAGATTGCAGTACTGAAATCATGACCAGCAGCATCATTACATGCCTGGCATGGGTGCCACACGGTGTAGCCAAGGAGAATCCAGACAAGGTGTGTACTTATAAGGCTGGGGAAAAATGGTTTGTTTAGGTCCCCCAAAAAAGTCTCCGGTTTCTGGTATGCGCGCGCGTCGCCGTAGCCATGCGCGTCGGCCAAATGAAAAAGTTTTTTTTTTCAATGAAAGATGATGTCTCAAAACCGCCAAACT